AGTGAGACGCTATACCACTTAGCCAACAAGGCTGATGACGCTGTATCGCTTGTATGCTTGCTGACGGGGCGAGAGATTGCAGATTCATTTCTCGAGATTGCTTGTGCTGTGGGCTGGAGATGGGTAGGGCCGCGGGGCGGGTGCTTCTGTCCCACCAACCCACTTGGTTCACGATGGAGACATCTGAGGGGCAAGGGTCCGACGGTGTGGTCGGCCACAACTTCTTGGTCCTAGTGCATGAGCTGCGTGCCTCAGCTGGAAACGGTTCACAAGACACGACTGGAACTTGATGCAGGCGAGCTAAGAATCGTCCATTTTCCATACGTATAAAAATCGTGTATTGTTCTATTCAAGGTAGTGAAAAGGGATGTACGCCTATTTAATGCTTCGAAAGAAGGAAGGCCGTGTATGTGATGGTGGGCTGTTCTAAGATTGATAAAGGAATTTTGCTTCGCTGCCGTGATCTCATCCCGCGAAAGTTGGTAGTCCGCTGGTATAGGTCGGACCTAGCCCATTTACCCAAGGTCAACACAAGTGTCTAGAACTTCGACTTCAAGAGATGAAGCTCACTACTTACCCATAACTCTTTCTTGATTGATTCCAACAAGTATCAAAACCAAGCCGCTGCTTAAGCCCTAGAGGCAGCAGCTTTGGGAAGTTGACATTTTTGGCATGTCGTAGCAGTCGATGGCGGCGAGGCTGCAGGACACTGGCACATTTTGGAGGGATCCGAGAGTGCAGTGATGACCGAAACGGGAACGATGGGACCAGGCATATTGTTTGTCGAGTATTCGTGAGCGGTGGTTGGATCTAGAAAGAGATTTATAGAATCAAGAATGATTCATCTGAAGGTCTTGATATTGAGGTGAAGGTGTGCTGCTTGATGCTGTCGAGATCTAACTTCAAGAGCTACTGCCATCGTATTTATACCGAATTATAGACAGTCACCAGCTCTCGTCGCTTCCTAAGGTTGAGGTCTACGATATGACTAGTCACCAAATCACATTCTGACTGAGATGACAAGCATTACTTGAAAGAGTGCCAACGACATGAGACTTCGCTTTTGGGAAATAATCAAGAGCAACAGGGGTCGTCAGCCCTACAGGGCAGCGGGCTTACAGCTTGCTACACCGAGACACGATGTATCCGTAGCCTCGGTTGGATGAATCCTTCTCATATGGGCTGCTGCCGCTAGTAAAGGCAGTCATCGAGGCGAGTCGTACAGCCTGATTCACGTAAGTGGTCAACAAAGTCCTAAATAATGGGAAGTTGCTTATTGTCATTGGTTAAAGGGCAGAGAAACTGACTGGCAGAAGACGAGATAGGTTGGCTTTGAATGTCAAGCTTCCAGTCGGGCCGTCTGCACAAGGTCGGTCGCCGAGGCCAGCCTCTGGCTTGGTACATTGTCAGAAGATTTGATTTCGTTTTGCGTGTTGAAACGGGATGAAAATATCCATGAATAACGAATTATAGACATAAGCAAGCAATTCTGCACCAAGACCGCGCCGCAAAAGTGGATGATTCTCATTCTTGAATTTTAGTTCAGCTTGGAATGATTCTTCTACAAAAGTCTATTCGACGATGCACCCTGTCCTGTGGCAAAAGTTGAATTGCTAAGCTCACGAAGATATACTCTTGAGTGTCGATTGCCGTTTTGGGCAAATCTACGTTGAGCCGCAGGCTGGGGGCACTACTTACTTTGGAGGGCCAAGAGAAAAGAGACCAGTTTCCCGAATAGGAAATTGTACATCGCAGAGGCGCGACATGGCCAATTGCGCATTTTGATTCGTTTCCGAAGAGAAAGGCATCCCTTGAGGACTCGAGAGGCTGATTTAAGCGTCTTACTCATTGCCCATGGACCCGGGCGTGGGGGCGAAAACAACTCAGTCTGACAGGTTACAGGGCCAGGCACCCAGTGTATTCTGTCGTGCCATAGGGTTGCCTTTGCTGACACACATAGGGCTGAGCTGAGATTCATCACGAGGCAGAATGCACTGCAAAGATCGATCATGCACGATGAATTTCCTGAACGGGAAATAGAGATGCTGGCTATGCCGGGGCCGTTGATGAAGCCCTCGAAAAGCAGGACTCGGCCGAACGAGAGGGTGGGGAAAAGTGGGAGACTAGAGAGGGTGTATCTCTGAAGACACTTTTGTTGGTTCAACATGCCATCTACGTTACGCAAGGCCGCCCGAGTCCCAGTTTCCTCTGCTGCACTAGGGAGCTGTAGAATGCAGCAATGATCCACCATTCTAGATTCATCCCGTTGCGAGATAACAGGCTCGTGGAAGTATGGAAGCCTCGAGTCTCGGACTTTGGAAGCCACCTCCACACGCCATCGAGCCTGCAGAAGACCCAGCATGGAGGACTGAGACATTCCTGCGAAGACCTTTTCCCTTTCGTATTCCGGCCATTCAAAATTGACAGTTCACTACAATGCACTCATCAGAGGTGTTCCCATGTGGTAGAGTTGCGTACATGCCGCACGTAAGGTAGGTGAGTCGGTAAGAGAGCCCCCATTCAAGACAGCCGACTCCAATCTCGGTCACAGCATCGCAGCAGTTAGAATCGCGTTCATCCTCACATAAATCAATGTTTCGCATATGGCCATGTGTGCTACAAGATTCTGTGTCCTCATGACAGCAATCTGGCCAACGTTTGAGGCCTTCCCTGGGACGCTCGCGTCGCCTTACTGTCTCACCCACGCGTCTCCGTGGAACCAACCCCCAACACTGATGGTTGCGGCAGTCAGACGTCCAGCAAATTAGCACCTATGAGTGATTCTGTAGATTTCTCGAGAAACGACTCGAAGTGAACTCCCCCCAGCTACCACCGCCAAGTTCCCATCTGATATCTTGCCCTGTCAGGCGAGACCGTGATATGAGAAGTGCGTGCATCATACCCCTGCGCTACCATGCAATTCAGGGACTCGGCCGACTCTTGGGTTCTACAGACAATAGGCGAGAGGCATTTCGCATTGGCGGCAGGCACGAAGCCCTGGATGAAGAAATTACAAGAGGCATGTTGTGGAGTCACCAGTTCCTTACCATACTTAGTATGACTAGTCGCTGTACCGGATATCAGCACATCCCCGATAGTCTAGTGGTGAGGATATCTGCTTGTCACCGGGGAAATCCCAGGATTCGCAGGGGACCGGGGTTCAATTCCCCGTCGAGGAGTCTTTCTTTTTCTCTTTTTGGCATGTCATCCTTTCCGCCTTTCCTTGCTATCCTACAAGTTTCCCATCATTCGCGGAATCGTCAATCCACGCGCCGGGCACCGACAAACGGTCGCCATATGCAGATGTTGTTCGCGAGTCAACTACGTGTGCCTATAAGTGGAATGAAAGCGGGTACTTGACATGATTGTAAGCAAAGAGGCCGTCCATGCGCAGGTTTACTTGCCAGCGGCTCCCCATTTGTATGTTGACACAACACCACCATCCACAAGGATATCAGTCCCAGTAATGAAGGACGACTCCGGACTAGCTAAGAACGCTACGGCATTGACAATATCCTGAGGTGTTCCCACTCGGCCAGCCGGGCTTGTGGCAACAAACTTTGCCGCTGGACCGCCCTGTTCCATCTCTATACGACCTACCGCCGTTGAGATGACGCCCGGACTGATCGAGTTCACCCTCGCGCGCTTCTGGCCCCAGGTCGCGGCGGCGGCCTGCACGCGTACGAGGTTCCCGCGCTTGGATATGCCGTACGCACGAGGGGCCGAAGACGGGTCCGCGGTGTCGACGACGAGAGCGGGATGATCCAGGAGCTGGTCGACGGGCGCCGTGGCGAGATGTCGCTCTAGCTCGGCGGGGAGACCAGAGCCCATGTGGCCTGCCATGCTCGAAATGCAGATCAGGCTGGTGCCGGCCTGCGCAACGGGGAAGAAGGCGTCTATCACGTTGGCGGTGCCGATGAGGTTGACGGCGTAAATTCGCTGGGCGGTGTTGGCTGTAGGGGGCAAGCCCGCGGTATGCACGATGGTGTGCAAGGGCCCTGCCGCTGCGGCTGCGTTGACGAAGTCGTTGACGGATGCGGATTCGGAAACGTTTACCGGCATCGTCTGCACCGAGTATCCATCGTCTGTGAGTTCTCTCTGAGCAGCTGCGAGAGTTGCGTCCGAGAAGTCGCCAAGAAAGAGGTGGTGGCCTGTACCCAAACGACGGGCGATGGCGAGGCCCATTCCGCCACAACCAACGATCACCACGACTCGCGAATTCATAGCGGCGGTTTTCGGAGAGTGGGATATTTGGTTCGGAAGATAAGGTTACATGGAGATAGCTGATGGGCGACTTCCATAAGATCGTGGACGAAAAGCAGAACAATCAGCTAGACAATTTGTCGCGGTGGGCGAATTCTTCCCCCCAGGTGTTTTATACGCATTTCGCTGCCGTTTCTCGTTTTCAGTAAGAGAATGCGAGACCGAACTCGAGCTGATACCTAGTGAAACTCACCCTGGTCATCCCACTAAACCCCTTGTTTCTAAGTGTTGTGGAAGAGGATATGTCAAATTGCGCGTATAATACGGAGTATCCGTACAGCTCAGAGTGATGGGATGCATTGCATCAATTGAGTAGGTAGGTACATAACATACTTCGGGGACCAACAATGTGCGCCAGGCGTCCAGCTGCATCTTCGTCCGTTCTCCAACTTCAAGCCCAGAACCCGGGCCGGGAATCTTAATCCCCCGCCTTTGCAACAAGACGCGATAGTCCTCTATTCGATTGTATAGAACAAACGGTCAGATCCTTCGTCCGTATCAGGAAGGTACAGTCTTACGCACTGATCGCTACAATCAGGGATGCTTCCATCATCCATCGCCGACTCCGCACCGGCAAACTGCTCCGATGCGCTTATCAGCCACGGCAATGTCGTCCGCCACATCTTCATCTCTCATCATTGAATTGTAACCGAAGCATTGGGAACTCTGGAACCTCCAGCCAGTCTTCGCCTCTCCATTGTGTCTCTGCTCACCCCCGTTTCAGCTGCTGCCAGAAAATGACACTCCGCAAAGCTCCCGCCCTCGCCGGCCCCGCCATGGAGCTTCCCCGGCGCACTTCGCCGCGGCAGTGGGCGGCAGACGCCGAGGGTGCGATCCCGGAGAAGCTCATCAAGCCATGGAAGCTGCCTCCGCAGAACACCTACCTCTTTATCAACGCAAACGTCGTGGATGCCGCCAAAGGCCTCGTCATTAAAAACACGACCGTCAAGATCTCAAACGGCTTGATTGAGAACGTTGGGGGGAGCCCAGCCGACAGCAGAGGCAACGATGCCATTGTGGTAGATTTGCAGGGAAAATACCTCTCCCCGGGTCTCATCGACTGCCACGTCCACGTCAGCTCCGTGCCCGGCGAGGCCGGCCTCAACGGCGGCTTCGACATGGACGCCACCGTCTCTCATCTGCGGCAGTCTTTCGTCTGCGGTCGCATCCTGAGCAAGGGCTTCACCACGGTCCGCGACACGGGCGGCGCAACTCTCGCGCTCAAGGAGGCAATCCAGGACGGCGTCTTCCCCGGGCCTCGCCTGTTCATCGCCAACCAGGCTCTCTCGCAGACGGGAGGCCACGGCGATCGCAGAGGTGCCCACGATCACTCGGGGCTGTGCTGCGGCGGCACGGCGGGACTCTCCAGCGTCGTAGACGGCGTGCCGGAGTGTATCAGGGCGACGAGAGAGCAGCTCAGGACGGGGGCGGACTTTATCAAGATCATGGTAGGCGGCGGCGTGGCGTCACCGACGGACAGGATCGAGAACACGCAGTTTACGGCGGATGAGATCAAGGCCATTAGCGAGGTCGCGCGGAGCTACGGTACCTGGGTTACGGCGCACGCATATACCCCGCGGGCGATCCGCCACGCGGTCGAGAACGGCGTGACGGGCATCGAGCACGGCAACTTCATCGACAAGGAGACGGCGGAATTCATGGCCGATAACGCCGTGTGGCTGACGCCTACGCTGGTCACGTACGACGCCATGGGCTCCGACAAGTACAAGGGATTCTTGCCCCCTGAGAACCAGCGCAAGAACCAGGAGGTCTTGGAAAGAGGTCTCGAGTCGTTGAAAATTGCCGCCGCAGCGGGCGTGACCATCTGTCATGGATCGGATCTGCTCGGCCCCCTACAGGCTGAGCAGAGCAGGGAGTTTGGCATCCGGCAGCAGGCTCTCGGCAATAAGCAGGTGCTTCAATCCGCCACGGTTAACGCCGCCAGGATGCTTCGACAGGAGGATGTGCTGGGGCAGGTGAAGGAGAAGTTCGTGGCGGACTTGCTGATTCTCAACGGGAATCCGCTGGACGACGTCTCAATACTGGATGAGCCGGAGAAGAACGTCTTGGCGGTGATCAAGGATGGCAGGGTCTACACGAGCCGATGGAGCAAGCTTCCAGAAGACGTCAAGGAGCCACCGCGACTGATTGAATGAGCGCATGCAGCAAGCTTTATCAGGCAAAACCGAACATCGAGGCTTGGATGATCTATAATGTTCATATACTAATCTATATCTGGAACACTACTGCTTCTGCTATACGTGACCTTGCTGGGCATAGTTGGTGCTGAATCACTCTGCTCGGCCTCCCGAAGGTGCTGCTGCGACAAATTGTCCACGAGGACGAATCCGTCACTTTGGCGTTCGCTCCGCCGATTTGAGAGACCATCGGACTTGCCATTCGAGCTGTAGTAGTTTGCCGTACCCTTGGTTGAGTACGAGGAACGGCCCAGCAGAGGTCGGAGGAAGGGGATACACGCGAGGGTGATGCCGACGCCGGGCTCCAACGCGCTGAAGATGAGAGCGTTGGGGATGTTGAAGGTTACGTCGAGGTACACGAGGTTGGCAAGGTAGTAGAGGCGCAGAGCCGATACGATGCACGTACTACATTGGCAACATGGTCAGTACATCATCTTCTTCAGATTAGGGAGGCTTGGCTTACAAGACTCCGAGCGAGAAGGTGACGATCAGGGCGACCTTCTTGTACATCTCCAGCCGAAGACTCCACAAGTGAGAAATCGGCATGACGAGGACGATGATGTCGGTGATCATGTTCAACACCCCCATCGTGCCATCCGCTGCAGGCTGGTTCCCGCAGTGTCGGTTCTTGATATCGAGGAGCCAGTTGTCCGAGAGGGGGATGCAGATGAAGAAGGCGATCAGCACCGTGACCATGACCCACATCATGGTGAAGGCGGCCAGTATCCGCGCCGACAAGATCATGAACCTGGTGCTGAAGAGCTTGGAGTAGAGGAGAAGAATGGAGATCTTGCAGAGGCTGAGGCTGATGGCCCACAGGATCTGTTGCGCGACGAGGACCTAGAGGGAGATGCGTCAACAACTACATCGGGGTTCTTCGACGCGAGAGTTGGCACGAACCTTGAGAAACTTGACGATTGGCCCGACCCCATACTTGGGTATGATGACGGCATTGTGAAGGCCAACACCGCATTGCATCACAGCGACTATGGAAATTGCTTGCAAGGCATTGGAGAAGACCTGTCAGAGAAAAGTGAGTTGTAGTCCTCATCTCATCGCGCCGGAAGATAACTCCTTTGCTGGCGTGATGAACAACGTACGAGTCCAGCAATTATAGACCAATCACTCAAATCCATATCTCTATGCGCCATGCGCCTGGCGATGAGGCGGAGGATCACCATCAACGTCGGAATGATGATGAAGACGATAGACACCGCAACCACAGAGATCTGGCCCGGCTCCTCCAGCGGGAATATCACCACCTTGTCTCCCATCGCCGGCGTCTTCGGTAGTGATGCCGCCATATTGTCGTCCCGTGAGGTTGCGATGGGAAGGAGACCTTGACCTTGTCGTCCACACTGCGAGTGGATTATGCGGGAAGCGGAGGTGGGACGAACATTCAAAGGTCCAAGCATCCAATCCATGAGAGCAAGATGCTTCATTTTTGAACCTCTCGAGGTCTGTCCCTCCCCCCCAGTTCCCAACGGCCCGACGACTGGAACCCAGAACCCAGACCACAGACCTTTTTCTGCTCGTTTCTTTTTGGGGCGGGCCACATCAGGTCACCCAATAGCCCCCCAAGTGGTGGTTTTGTTTGCTTTTTCCTTTCCCACTGTGGGCACCAGAATGGCAAGCTGCATACCTTATCGACCGCAGTGCAGACGCTGTGCAGTTGTGACAGGGGGTCTGGACAGCCCAGAGTACCTAGAAGAGGAAAGGATAGAAATACTGGTGCGGCCACCTTTGCTGCCACGCGATCAGAGGTCGAGGGTAACAGCAGAAATGCCCAGACTTTTTCTTCCACTTCGTGAGAAACAGGCACTGCCAAGGACAGCAGGCTAACAAATGGGCTGGAGGTGTGATGACTGCGCTGCGTCGTGCTTTAGTGGTATGAAAAAGTGGATGCCTACAAACGAAATGATGTAAATGGGCAATGATTGAATTGTGAATATGATAGAAACCATGGGGGAAAACTGACCTCTGCGCTTTTGCTCGCGATTCATCGGCGACGGTAGATGCTCTCAATGAATTCCTCGTTTGGGATGTAGGGCATGGAAGCGTTTCCGATGACCTCTCTGAGTTCGAAAATTACCCCAAGGACAATGCCCTCATCTCATGGAACTGGCCATGGCTCCCGCAAAGTCCAAGGATCCTCGTGTCAGCCTGCCTAAAGAAGCCTGTTGTGTTACGGTAATCCGAGATCTCTACCCCGGTGCCTCAAGAGCACAGATACAGATCGCGGTCATTTCTACACGTACCGGGTTCGCGAAGAGATCCAGGCCGATTCCATCATAAAGGCATGGGTCGACGAACGAACCAGACGTGGCGTCGGGCGGAAGCAACCCCCTCGACGGCAGATGGCCAGCCCTTTGACCACGGACGCAGGGAAGAAAGAGACATGGATCCCCTCTCGCTAACCGAGAATCCTTCCTTTCTTTTTTCCTCCTTCGCTGCCTTTGATCACACATACTTTCCCCGTTTTCCCGTTCCTGCATGGGGGGGATTTGGGTGGTTTCCACACTAATCACAAACGCAGCTTTTCCATCTTCGCTTCAGACTGTGCATATCTAGTTTGCTCTAGGTCGATGCTATCATCAGCCCGTCCTTACCCTGTGAGTACCTTGTTATCGAAGAAAGTTAATTCTTTCTAAGTCATAAGTACAAGAATATAGTTTTAATAAAACAATATAGTACCTACTTAGCACTTGAATTAAGATGCTTTTTTAAGCTTATTATAAGAAAAAGATAACTATATTGCTAACTACTTATTATTAAGGTTTATAAGTAGTACTATAGCTTTAACTATAATAGCTTTGCTTATAATAAACAAAAAGTCTAATTATAAGTCCCTTAAAAGCCTTTAATTAAGAGCTATAAGAACTTCTAAGTATACTAAGTTAAAATACTTACTAAAATACTAATAACTAAACTAACCCTATAATAACGACTTTAATAAAATACTTAGTAAATAATATTGAAATCCTTATTAACATTAAGTACGATTTATAAAATATAATAACGTAGCCGTAGAGTATTACTAATATATCTTATACTAAAAAGGGTATTATTAGTACTAATAAGATAAATAGGGCCGTATTAATATAGTACCTTAGCTTCTTCCTATAGCTCGAGGATAATCGCTTTAAATAATATTAGAAATTTATTAAAAAGCTCTCTTAAGTACTCTAGTATATTTATTACTATTTCTATAATAATAAGACTCCCAGCGCTTATATATAAGAGTAGGTTACTTATTTTTAAATAGTAATATCAGCTTATTAATAAGCTATTAAAACTACGATTCTAGCGATCCCTTAATAAGGGAGAGGGTAGAATAGAGGAAAGGATGGGTAAGAAAAGGGTTAAGGTTGAATAGTGCGGAATTCGAGGGCAGGGTAGCGTCTATATGTACTGCGGCAATCCTCTAGTAATGCAAAACGATGGAGTTAAACAGTGAGCCCGTCCTTGCCCGTTTGATAAAAGATGGCTTTTTCGAGGTTACCTCCCACCTGCTTACCCCGACCTAGCTGACTCTTCCTGGCCGGCCCCTCTTCGCGAAAATCTCGTTACGACTTCAACAACGTGGGATACGGGTGGGAACGCGTGGAATAGCTTCCCTCTACTGCACGACACCATCCATCGACAGTTTGACACCCTTGTCCCCCGTTGAACCGCGTGTGGCACACCACCATCATCTGTCCGAAAAGGGCTCGTCGTCCGAGAGCCACCGTGCCATCTAGCCACCCAGCCAACTCAATTCTGACGTCTCACTCGGGAGGCATGTCTGGCATTCTTAGGGTCTCACTACGGAAGCGGGAGCAGCAGCATTAGCTCCTACGAGAAAGAGATTTCTCCCCCTCCCCCCTCCCTTACCGTCACAAGCCACTGCCCATCAGTCAAACCTTTTCAGAAGCGCGCGGCATGACGGCTAAGCTAGGAAATGCGAGGACGGGACGGGAGGCAGAAGCCGGCAGCCGCCTCAAGTCCGTTATCAAGGGAAGAGATATGAGGGAATATTATTGCGGCTATGACAAGCTTTTGCTTTCGAAATGCCCAACCTGTCATTGTGCATTCGCTGAGAAACATTTCCGGCTTCCCCGTCATGCCGCGGTGAAGGTGTTAGTAATGTGGCTGGGTGGTACGCCGTGCAACCATCAGGACGCGCTTGATCGTCCGCTTCAATCTTTCCAGTTGACAGGCACGGTAAGTTGAAAAGACTTTATAACTTTCACATTATCAATTCTGGAAAACTTTCAATAATAAGGCCTGAGCGATGATAGTATGATCACTCCACTAACTAGTCGAGCATCACTCGATTCACCGCAAAGAGACCAAGCTCAAGCGCGGCACTTATAATAACCTCGCTGAGTGAAATGTCACCGAAACGATTCTACTTCGTGCTGGGACCATTCGCCATGGGAAAGAAACTCGGTGTGACATATGCGGCTCAAGATGAAAGGGCTGGAAGGGCCGTGAGTCTCGGGTAGAAAATATGATCAATCATGGACAAACGAGTCAGCGGCTTGCCCTGGCTCAAACGACGAGATCCAATCGGAAGATGCCTCTCGACGCCTCAAAGAGCTAGCACGGTGCCTGACAGATGTTGTCAAAGTCTCAGTTTTGTGAAACTATAGCTTTGGATAGGTTGCATAAGCTGCTCTGTCCTGCAGTAGTCAGTGCAGCTAAGCTCAAGTCTATGGAACTCCAAACGTAAGCGAGCAAGCAAAAGCCTCATCGTGACTAAGTGAGTGGTGATCGGAATTGATGAGAGTGAACAGTTTTCAAGCTGCATCACCTGGAAGACGAAAGCGATGGAACGACGGTATGACTGGAGTGGGAAAGACGATTTCCACCTTTGAAAGCTAATTTGATGCTTCAGCCACGCAGCTCTACAACGCAAGGGGGGTTTACTTGGATATTTTGACGGAGACCAATGAAATTGGGGCCAACATTCGTTCGAATGACTTGATTAGGGCGATAATTGACACAGGTAAGCTTGAAGGTATTTGGCAGCTTCGTCTTCCGCATGGAAACCTAACGCGGAGTTTGGAAGAATCTAACTATATGATCAATGATGCAGGCCAGCTTATATTAATCAAGGCTTGTTACATAAAGTTCAACTGTTCCAAGCATAGGCCAAGCGGGAGTTGATGCTAACGGGATGGAGATTGTATCAGCCAACTCATATCTACTAGATGCAATGCTCCTCGCTTTCACACCGTCTTGGAGTAGAAAAAGTGGACACGTAATCACTGATTAGGTTCGCATGGCTCTGAACCCTCCGTAACCTGTGACAATGTGCCTCTTCCGCTATTTTTTCATGTTCTTCTCGACTTGCTCGTATGATTCGCTAATCACCGGTTTCAGTAACTGGGGGAGGACAACTGCTGCATCTCCTACAAACACCCAGTCCTTATCCGGCCGAACATGTCTCGCGTCTTCAGCTCGCGTGTTGATAACAGCAACTCTCGCACCCTTCTTGCAAGCCATCTCGGCATACCCAGCCGCCGGCCAGACCTTGCTGGTGGTTCCAATCGTCAGAAACAAATCGATGGCCTCGGGGTCATCGAAAAGCGCCTGGGCCTCTTCAACAACCTCAACGGGCAGTGGCTCGCCAAACCAGACGACGGCGGGACGGAGGATGTTGTTCTTGCACTTAGGGCATTGCGGTAGGTCCTTTTTCTCCAACCCCGACGACATCCGGATAACAGCAACGGGGTTCGATGACGCCGGTTGATCCGGGGCTTTCAGAGCGGTCAGATCCCGCGTGGTCGGAGAATTGCCCTCATACTTCTCCCCGAGGATTTGCGCGTGTTTCCGCGCGATGCCGGCTAACAGTACTGGGCTGGCGCGAGGCTTCTCGTCCGGACTGATGCTGCCGATGGTCCTCTCCTCGTCCTTTGAAGGATCGAGTGCTGGCGACAGAGACTCCTCAAAGTTGTCACGCTCGGTGTATCCGCATCCAACCACATCGACGCAGGACAGCGCAAAAAGATTGCCGTGGAGCTCCTTCAGCTGACTGGGCGAATGACCAGCCCGAGGGCTCAAGTTATCGACATTTTGCGTCAACGCGACGAAGCCAGGCACTCTGCGCGCGAGCTCGGCCAGAGCATAGTGAGCGGGGTTCGGCTTGGCACGAAGGGCGTCGTGCCTGCGATACGTGTAAAATTGCCAGACGAGACCCGGGTCATGACGGAAGCCTGCGGGTGAAGCGACCTGCGTTATGTCCTGGTTCCTCCACAGTCCGTTGGCCCCTCGGAAGGTGGCAAGGCCCGAGGATACGGAAAGACCTGCGCCGATGAGAGCAACGATGCGCTTTGACTTCTTGAGTGTGTCGTGGAAGTCAGCGACCGCGATAGGGTCTAGGTCGGGCTGAGTTGTAGTTGAGTCAGCCATCGAATCTTGGCGTAGAGATGATACAGGTGTGGTCGGGTTGTAGTATGATAGCTCGTTGTTTCGAAAAGTCAACAGGGAAATTGGTTTCTTCAAATATCTCTTCGAGTTGACGTTGGTTGCCTAAAGAAAATGCGGCAAGGCAATAAAATCTGGCACGTTTTCTTGGACCCCAAAACCAATACGGCGAAGCAACCAACAAAGAGATGACAAGTAACATCAGTCCAATTTCGGAAATTTCCATGGCCGTTAGACAGAACATTCAAGGGGTCATGAACCAACACTGAACTGATGTGAGCTTGGGGCGTCTCAAGATGCAAGGGGCCGCTGCCTGAGCAACATATTTCTGGCGAAAATGTCGAGACTTTATTGGCTGATGACAGCCATCGTAAGTAAGCTGCTTCAAACACCCAAAATCAACGACGGATTCTATGAGGCCGGGCTTGATCCTCGAGCCAGTTCTACCGCCTTTTGCGCTGCTTTCCCAAAATCTGCTTCGGTATGCAATCCAAGATTGGCTTCTTCCAGCTGTGTGTTCCAGTCAGCACACTCAATGTCAAGATAGCATTTGACCGGCACGGGAACATCTTACGATTTTCAATCCCATCTCAGAGTTGGTGCCTTGAAGTCGAACCACCATGGGAATTTTCAGCGGTCCCAGCTCTTTGGCTGCACCAAGAATGGATTCTGCGATCATGTCGCCTCTAGTAATTCCTACCAAAAGTTTATTAGCCCGAGAAGTAGACGTCAAGCTTCCTTCATTAGCTGTTTGGCGAACTTACCGCCATAGATGTTGACAAATATCGTCTTCACCCTCTGGTCCCGCAGGATAATCTCAAATGCCTTGACCATGGTCTCCTTCGTCGCTTGCCCACCAGCATCAAGAAAGTTTGCACTGGCGCCACCGTGCAGGGCAATCGCATCGTTGGTCGCCATCGCGAGACCTGCTCCATTGACCACATTGCCAATGTCGCCGTCCATGCGAACATAGACCAGCCCATACTTCTCAGCCTCGACTTCTTCTGGAATCTCGTGCTCCGTGTCTCGCTCTGCAAAAAGTGGCTTCTGCCGCTTGGCCGCAGCATCATCAAATGAGAACTTGGCGTCCATGCAAGTCAGACCTCCTTCTGACGAGCTTGCTAGAGTCTTGATCTCAAGCGAATAGGCGTCCTTTGTTGTGAAAATCTTATAGAGTCTGCCGAGTATGTCATTGAGGTCTTCCTTCTCTTTCGCCGAAGCTCCGAGACATTTCGAGACTTTGTCGGTGAGTTTGGATGTGATGCCATCCGTGAATCCAAATCGAAATGTATGCAGCTCGTCTGGATGCTGGGCTGCTATCTTTTCGATGGCGACTCCGCCAAATTTTGACGCGATGATTATTGGACAATAGTTCTCGCGATCGAATGTGATCGCCAAGTACCACTTTCTTTCGGGATTCAGGCTTTCCGTAACATGAAGCTTATTGACCAATACACCGTTACCTACGGATTGATCCGTCTTCAAGTAGTGACCAAGCATGCGATTGGCAGCTTTCTCGGCGCTTTCTGCATTATTGACCAGTTGAATGCCGGCCCCTGACCCGTTGTCAAACGCGCCGTCATCGATGCCGCCCCTTAATATCTGTGATTTGAGAGAACAGTTTCCGCCTAAGTGTGTCAGTACATCTTAAATCGGCAGTCTAGAAGAAAACATGATTACCAAGCTCTGTGGCAATCACCGCAGCTTCGGCTGGTGTTCTTGCGAGGTGTCCTCGGGGTACTGGGATGCCGAACTGATCGAAAAGCATCAGCGACCCTTCCCATCCTAGTCTCTTGTCGCTACAAAAGAGAAAGCCTTACCTCCTTCAAAAGGTTCTGCGACTGATATTCATGTAGCGTGAGCTGTCGAAGTTGTTGCTTCGATACCAACTAAGGAGAAATCAGCGATCTGTGTTATTATTATGCGTGAAGGCGGAGTACCTACATTTGCATTGAGACGCCACAACTTTGCTGTCAGAGTCCGAGTTGCCATGGTATCATGAAAATGCACGTGAATGCATCAAGTTCAATATCGAAAGATTATTCACTCAATTTTGAACTGATCAAGACGGTAGGTAGATCATAATAATTGACTGCAGGTATGGGAGGTATGGCCGGCGGCAATCAGGTACGTCATCCAGACAAAGGCAAGCTAGCGATGCTTTGGCTGGCTCTAGGCGAGCAAATAGCCGAAGGTTGAGCGCTGTCGGTTATATCGGCTATATCCCCTTCTCCAATACTACGGATAGGTGAAGCCGATATCCACGCCGCTAGTTCACTGCAACTGAACACCTGCAAACCCCATTTCAGACGGCGATGGAAATCTTGCTTACATCACACAAATTGTCCCGACTACCTGCTGCACTCAGATCTGTACGCACCGTGCAGCAATAGCATGGTCTCAAACCAATTCGACTTGGACAATTTCAACGGGACTTACGGGTTAAGATTTGGTCTCTTCGTGATCTCCCTTGCAGGGATGCTGGTTCGGGCCAATCAACCTCCATGATAGTAGCTATGACTATGGACATAGCGACATAGGTAGTTGGGCGCGGTAAACGCGCTGTGTTGACCTTCCGGCCCCCTCTTTTCAGCTAGGCAGTTGGGCAGATTTTGACCAGGCAGACTGTCACCTTTATTTCTGCCTCCGATAAATCATCAGGATCATGCCGAGTGCTCTCAGTCGACAGTGTCAATACCACATCATCTGAATCTTTTTGAGCGTCTAGAGTCCAAAGTGAAATTGCATTACGCGGATGATGTCCTATCACAAAGTCACGGACGATGAACCACCACCAGGTGTGACTGGGTGGGATCTCTTGTGTGCTTGTGAGAAACGGCGTGGATGGCATAGGGAGCTTACATACGCACAGATCCGGCATGCTGCCATGAAGTTGTGCGGCCTCTGCGGCGTGTACAAAACTGTGGTTGAGGCGGTTATTGATGGGCGTCTTCCGGCATTATTCCAGGGAGCACGGAACGAGACTGAACGAGATCAGATTCTTGACGAACTTGTCGTAGGAAGCATTGGCCTTACAACAGCCAATACGGAGGAGAGCATGGATCTGCTCATCAAAGGAGTCTATGTGCGAGTCTCTCTCTTTATAGACCCCGAAGAACAATCCGTTTTCAGAGTCTCAAGTAATGGGGATGAGGAGGTTGGCTTTCCCAGAGAGACGCAGTTTGGACCGTCAACAGACTCTGATAGGAGCTTTGCGAGGGCGCGACAATGGCTGCGGCAATGTGTGGACCACCATGATTGCGGGAAGGCTCGTGGCTCATTCTATCCGCGCAGGCTTCTTGATCTTCGGGGTGACCAAGTTCGACTCGTCGAGACTGTCAAGGCCAGTGATTTTCAGGGGCCATACGTCTGCCTAAGCCACCGTTGGGGCGACGCAAAGTTCTCACGGTTGACAAGCACGACTGAAAACCTACATATGCACATGGAAGGAATCGAATGGGGCGACATTCCAAAGACATTCCAAGATGCCATTGTCATCTGTCGACGTTTAAGTGTGGAGTATCTGTGGATCGATACGTTGTGTATCTTGCAAGACTTTCCCGAAATGTCGGACGAGCAAAAGCGAATAACGGGTGCAGATTTCGCAGCTGAGAACTCAGCCATGGCCCGCATCTATGGGAACTCCTACTTCACCATCTATGCAAGCGTCTCAACAAGTATGGCCAGTGGCATTTTCTCATCCAGGCGTTACGGGAGTCATCAAATCAAGATCGGTGACGCTAATGGCAAAGAGTCGACCCTGCGCATCAGAGAAAGAACGTCACACTTCACACCACCCACAGATCTGGAGACTAGAGGCTGGACATTCCAGGAGTATCTGCTACCTTGCCGAGTTCTAGAATTCGGGCCTTTTGATATCTCTTGGAAGTGCAACCAAATCTATATCTGCGAATGTCTGCACAATACGGGGGCGGCTCACTGGCGCGAGGAGCTAGCTCGACGTACATTGCCGCCTCAGAATGCTGCAGAGGCTGAGGAGTGGTGGGCAGGCATACTTCGGCAGTACACGATGAGGCACCTGGCAAAGAATGAGGATAAATTACCTGCTCTTTCCGGGCTTGCACAGCTCTATCACCAACTGACGCGCGATGCTTACCTGGCGGGCTTATGGCAAGCGTCTCTTCCTCAATGCCTGTTGTGGTTCAACACTGCAAAAGCTGGCACGTATCCGATGAAGCTTGGTATAGGTCAAAGAGCTCCAATAGCCCGTGCTCCCTCCTGGTCCTGGGCTTCGCTTGATATCGTTAACGACGCCCAGTGCCACTTCTGGTGGCCACGAGTATCGCTTTCTACAAATCCTATCATGTACGGAGACGGCGCTTCACCGCGGCCGGTATGCACCGTATACGAAGCTCTTTGTCAGCCGATAACGGATGATCCGTTTGGTGAGGTAATGGGGGGCTTCGTCGACCTCGGTGTAATGCTCATTTCGGCGAGGGTCGGCACCAAGCCTCAAGGGAATGACTGCTTTAGCACGGCTGGCGATGTGGCTTGGACACTGGATTATGTCGAAGACGGCACAGATGTTCACGTATGTCTAGCTGACTGCAGCTTGGATGATGACAGTCTGCAAATTGGAGACGAAGTGTTTTGCGCGCCAATCGTGGAAACACTTTCGGAATCAGAATCAGACAGAGGCTGTTTGGTGCTCAAGCGCATGCTAGAAGGATCAGAATTCAGACGCATAGGCTTTGCCGTCTTGCGCAAGCCGAACCCAAGCTGGGATCGGGCGAATGGCCCACTTAGAATGCCCAGGGGATGGGGATACAAAGAGCCGGATCTAACGACTCCAGAATATGCCGAGAAGGTTCAGAGTTATGCCCTGCCGTACAACTTAAATGCACTGTGCCGTATTAGAATTATTTGAGTTGGCTGAGAAAGCGGACAGGTTCATGATGACCTCTTGATCGCGGATGTTATAATGTTTCAATCCACCTATCTGCACTTGGGAAGACTCTGTGGCCAACACAGTCCAAGTTCATGTTCATTCAAATAGCTCTGCCACCATCGACCTCCAAGTTGACACCAGTGATGAACTTGCTCTCGTCCGAAACCAAGAATACAGAGGCGTCTACCACGTCTTCAATCTCACCCAATCTTTGTAAGGGGACGTTTCCAATGAACTTCTGACGATTTTCCGGTGTGTCCTTCATACCAATGAAGGATTCGAATCTACGCATGTGGATGAGCAACAACCAGATGGCTCGCAGGAATACAACTCACAGGCCAGTTCCAGTCAAAAGAGGACAGATGGAATTCACGCGAATCTTATGGGCACCGTACTCGGCCGCCAATCCCTTGGTTGCCTACAATCTGTTCAGCCAAGTGCCGTTTATCTATATCAGTCACTTTCTACTTACGTTGCAGACGGCTCCCTTGGAGGCATTGTACCACACAAGACCTGGCCGGGGGCGCAGAGCTCCAATCGAGGAGATGTTGAGCATCACGCCTCCTTCCCCTTGCTTGATGACTCGCGGCATGAACGCTGCGGTGCCGAGGAAGATGCCCTTCACGTTGACATTAAAGACCTTGTCAAACTCGCTCTCTGTTACCTCAGCCGTAGGCTGTGGCAGTGGGAAGTCAGCGTATCATTCCCTACGAGTCATAACCGTTTAGTTTATAGATGTGCGGAAATTCTGACCTTGTTCCTGTAAGTCGTGCCGGCGTTATTCACAAGACAGTCGATTCGGCCGTAGCGCGATTGCGCGGCATCCATCAACTTCTCCCAGTCCTCAGCATTTGTGACGTCTGCTTTGAGAAACGATATCGAATCGGGAGCGCTTTGCGCTACTCTTTGTCCGTCGCTCTCATTGATGTCGGTAATGAGAACTTTGGCTCCTTCTTGGGCGAATTTGTTGGCAATACCCTCGCCGAAGCCATGCCCTCCGCCTAGAAAATGTCAGAAAGCCCAGGATACGACTGGAAGTGAAGGTTGTTCTACCTGTGATGATGACAACCTTTCCAGCTAGTCTCGATCCTGTCTTGGTGTCACTCATGTTGATTGCTTCTTCGCCTCAGACGTCCAGATATTGATACAATTTTTGGTGTAGTTGATCAAGATGGTTTGTTGATATTTGCTAGACACAAATACATTTTCAATATGTCACAATTATAACCCCTCATTTAAATAACCATAGAGGTTGTACAGCGCATAGCGTTCATACTAAGACCGCGACAAAGCACATTGCATCATAAGAAGGCGGGGAGGTGCGGGGGCTAGGACGCCGGGCAACGAATTCCGTGTGCCGCCACGGCACGGTCCGGCGAAACCCTTTACGGCTCGGTTATACAACTCATTTTCCGTGGTTTTTCTTTTTCGAATTGAATAGGCGAATGTCAACAACATAAAGAGCGCTCGATAGATGCATGTTGTCTTACTCGGGTCTTTGTTGCCAATGCAGTATGCGACAACACAGCACACCTCCATGTCGAATGGACATCAGCTCGTTACCATAGGGTTCTGTGCATGTACTGCATGTTGTGAGGTTCAGCAACAAAACCCACGAGTGATTTTAGACGTCAAAACTCAAGTCTTTCCAGGTCATTTACGATAGTCCGCGACTCTGCACTTGAGATTCATCTACCTTACTCCAGACCCTCTTGAGTAATCGTCACTCTGTGTTAAGTACATATATCTGAGGCCATTGTGCGCCGTTTCCATGAAGTCAGTGAGAGAATGAAGTTCCTGAGAGCGGCTTTCTGTACCAATCAAAGTAAGATTGGAGCGATGCCTACCTTACGTGTAGATAAGGCAAGAGTTGAAATGCTCAAGTTACGTGGCTCTCAGAAAATTGCCAAACTTTTCTACACTTGCTGCTTACCAAATTCAACCTGCGGGGGATTGGGGAGTCGACTCTTGTTTTTGATGGAAGTGCTCGTCCATTATAGCGCGACTGTCACCACTCCTGATTGAGATTCAAAAGCTTACCAGTGCTAGATATCAAGGATTGGAGTCGGTTGCCTAGATTAGAAAATAAGTGAATTTGCACTGGGCAACCAAAGTGGTCTTCAAAAGTGGAACTTCTGACAACTTGTTACAGTATCATTGCAGTAATGAGGTAGCATGTGTCAAACTCACCGAGTCAGGTTTCCAAAACCCAATCTTGATGTCACTCCCGAACTCAACTTCCGAACGGGAAGACACAAGGGATTGCTGTTCGTCCTAACACATACGCGTTCTAGAAAGGTTTTGCGCTGCCTCACTCAGTCTTCAAAGAAAAGCGTGGGGTCTCATCCCATGATCTCCAAAGTTTCATCTTCCCTGCCAGCGAAACCACATCCATTGACTTCACTACTCCTCAACACCCCACACGACTAACTCCAGCCCCAATATACCCCGCATGGAGCTAGGCATTTGGAAAGATAAGCGACTCCTGGTCGGGGATTGCCCTGTCTATAAGTCCCGACTACAACAACCGTTCCGCCAAAATGACTGCGCGGGCCAACCGGTCAACTCTGCGGGGTGCTGCTAAGCTGAACTCTGTCCGAGGTGTGGCATCAGGTTTTGGGAGGGTAGGGAATGCGGCAGATGTCAATCCCCATACTTGCGGGCGTTGATTTCCCGCAGGCGCTTTTCGGAGTGTGCTTAAATACCGAGTCCGTCTAATATCTCGACAATTGAGGACACCATTCAGTTTCTCACCAATTTATTATCCTCAACCACCAAAGACGATGGCTACTATTCAACAAACACCTATGCTGGGGGTGACCCCAGGCATGACTCAAGGTCTAAAGTCTTCGACCGAGCATGTTGAGCATGTCGAGCGCGTGGAAGATAAAGCTTCTTTGATCCAAAAGACAAGTTTGCTTGGGTTGAAAAATATTGAGACAGAAGCATATGTGGTGGACAAGTTGAACGCTGACTTTGAGCTGGTTCCTATCATTCTTGATGAGATTCGACCAAATGAGGTTCTTGTTGAGATGAAGTACAGTGGAGTGTGTATGTCAAATTCAACAATAACCTGGGAACATCTCATGCATCAGTCATTGACAGTATCACAGGCCATACCGATATAGTAACACAACAGGGAGGTCTTCCCTTCGTTGAGTTTCCTGCCATTTTCGGTCACGAAGGAGCTGGTGTAGTCCGCGACATTGGAAGAGACGTCAAGATCAAAGACCTAGCAATTGGTGACGCAGTTCTCCTCTCATTCAATCATTGTGGATCATGCAAGACCTGTACGAGCGGTCATCCTGCACTCTGCCCAGAATCGTCAATGATCAACATCAATTCTGTACGGGTAAGCGACCGCAGCACACCAGCTCGGCTGGCTTCCGATGGCCGTGCTGTCCGGAGTCAATTCTTCGGGCAGTCCTCATTCTGCAAAATGTCTGTTGTCAACGAGAAATCAGTGGTCCGGTGCCCACCGTCGGCGGTCGAGCACATGGGTGTCTATGCCCCACTCGGATGCGGACTCCAGACCGGCGCCGGAACGGTCATGAACGTCGTCAAGCCGGGCAAAGAAGACTCCATTATCATTTTCGGACTCGGAAGTGTGGGTCTTGCGGCGTTGATGGCGGCACGCTACCTCGAAACCGGGCAGATTATTGCCGTCGATATTGTTCCCGAACGCCTCGTGCTTGCAAAGGAGCTTGGAGCCACACACACAATCAACTCGAGGGAATGCAGCGATGTAGTCCAGGAGATCAAGAAAATCAGCAACGGGGGTCCAACATTCGCTGTAGAATGCACTGGAATCTTGAAGGTCATTGAAGACATGATTGCTTGCATCGGTCCCCTGGGTACAGCTGTCCAAGTTGGGGTACCGCCCCCAGGAGCCACAATCAAGCTCGACCCGCAAGAGTTCCTGATTGGGAACAAGAAATATGTTGGCATAATTGAGGGAGACGCGGTTCCTGCAGAGTTCATTCCCAGATTGATCTCCATGCACCAAGAAGGCAGATTCCCCATCGACAAGTTAGCTGGGTTTTACCCAGCATCACAGTTGAACCATGCCATACAAGAAATGGCTGCCGGAAAAGTAAGTTGTCATAGCTTCCGTCCAATTTCTTCGTCTTCTTCGAAAGCTAACCAAATTTAAAAAGGTCATCAAGCCAGTGATTCAATGGATTTAGCCCAGCATCCCGTGGCCAGGTAGACAAAGCGATGGGCCTGGCTGGACAGAGGCCTCGAACAAATGATCGCGGGGTACATATTTTTGGTATAGAGATACATCTGTCGACTCGTTCTAGATCTGATTTCACGGCATACTTCCGCGTGGTCCCGCGGTCAGCAAGCTATTATGAAAGCGGTAGGCTGGCTGGCTTGTCGATCCTATCTCCACTGATTCAAGTCTTGGTTCGAAGCACGCCAAGGCAGTTGTTGATCATTCTTCGAGAGACTGGTCACGCCTAAGAAATAAAAATGTGTGTTTAAACCAAGCGTCATCTGCAACTCAATTCGGCCCCAATTGCCTGGAAAAGAGATCGCGCCGTGTCTCATCAAATCGTTCAACGCCACCAAAAGCCTCCTAGTACTACAAGAATGCGTCTCACTTCAGCCCTGCCACCGGAAGATTAGACCACACTGCAAACGGCTTTCACCCGCATGTATCACCGCATTGCCCAAGCCCATGTAAGATGACTGTCTCACTTGGCCTCTTACAGCAGCTATCGCTCGAGTGAGCCATGTACACTGCGGCGGGATCGGTCCGGTCCCGCACTGGAGAAGCCGTTTCTCGACTGCCGGGAGTTAGTGTGCTGGTTTCCACAGGAACTTGCTGTTCCTCTCTCATTGCGTCTAGCCGCAAAAGAAATCTCGGAAACCTATCGCGTGCCTCTATGGACGTTGGCAGAGTCACAGGATTTGTTGGTAGGCAATAAGCAAAGCAGTCAAATTAACCAGCTAATCACATGCTTCCCCCCAAGCTATCTCTATGATGATACCGATGCCCAACATTACTTAGTAGTGATCAATTTTGAAGGCGCCGAGTGAACTGTCAGCGGCAGTGGCCGACTGGGTCCCTCGTCGTCTGAACCCCAGAAGTTCAACTTGGCAATGGCCAGGTTTGTCTTCTCCTTCATATCATCACCATACACCCACAAATGCTTCATCTTCCTCGTAGAGTTCTTGAGGTGTTCTACCGCCTTATTCTGAAGGATAGGGGCCGTCTGTAATGGAGAAACCCAACCAGTTTCGTCTGTCGGATCATGATGCAGACAAGCTGCCAGCACTATCGATTTGAGTGAGTCTCGGCTGCTGAAGTCTCCTGCCAGACTTTCCCATCTCTGGGCAGCAAGATCCTCGGCCTTGATGGATGATGTGGGACTGCGCGCGGCCACCCAAACTGGCAACCGGCATTCCAAACCCCATCGGTCTTCCTCAGAATCCACGTCCCACCCACGAAAGATGACAGCCTTTCCGCGAACATCGCGAAGAAGAGGCCATTGTTTGCCCGTGTACAAGAGATTTTCTTTCTTCATATCCCTCTTGAAGTCTCTGTTGAAGTTCTTCGGCAGATCGTCGTAATTGATGCTGTAACCCTCGGACCAATGCTTGTCGGCGTCATACGTTGCGGAGGCGGATGAGAAACTGAGCATGATCATGACGGTTTCATTCTTATTGTCTTTCAAGAAGTCCCTGACATCATCAAGTACGTCTTCGAGCTGCTTTTCAAGGACCAGAGGGCCGTGCCGTAGTCTGCGTTCTCCGTCACATCGTAGGTCGAGCAGCCGAACGCCGTTTTGAAGTTGAGTGCGAATACTGTCTTTGTGGCACTTGTGCATGCCGAGTAACTGTAACCTCAGCTTCTTATCGCTGATTTCTGGCTCGACGTCAATGTTCGCGACATCGTTGATCCAATAGGTTGAGGCACTGCTACAACGAGTTCCCGGTAAGCTCAAATCCTTTACACACATGTCGTCGGGGAGGTGCTTCATCCAAGATTTGGCACAGAAATCGGTTCTGTCAGCATGTTAGATTGGGAAATGTCATGCCTTGACTCATGACTACTATGCTCACTTGGGCTGCATGACACATTGCCGCTTCTCAAAGTCAAAATTGGCTGTCGAGCCAACGTAATCCCGATAACTATGAATGGTCAGCTAGTGCCGGAGTTCGTGACTCGGGCAACGTGAACTCTGGAACTCACTCGGTTGCTTTCATGTACTTGTTGCGGTATCGAAAGGCCCCCTCAATGACAATGTAGTACTCGAAATGACGCGTGTCTGTAGTAAGGCCCAAAAGATTACTGAATTGAATAAGTTCAACTCCCTTGCGAACCCATCGCGTTCCGGGCAGAAGCTTGAGATATCCTCCAGCAGAAGCCCAGATTACGACATGATATTCAGGGTACTGCGCCTGCAGAACCTGTAGTCTGTTCTGAACAGGGTTTTTGGCGCTTGTCGGAAGTCCCACTGCCATGGTTGGATTGTTGGTTTGTTGCGAATTGAAGATCAACGGAAATGCTTTCGCAACTGAAAAATGAATCATGCCTTGAGCCCCGAGACAGAATTATATAGATGCTCACGGCATTTTCCTCTGCACTGCTTCAGATGCGTGTTTTTCATGTCAGGCTAGCCTGGCTGATAGGTGACAAAAGTCCGGGGTAAGACAACCTGCATTCGTCCAGTTAGGCTGAATACGCCAAGAAACCAACCCATCTCTCGCACCATGCGGCTGAGCCGTAGTGAGACAAATGAAAGCCATAATTCTATCCAGGCCGTTTCCGGTGTGAGTTACTCGTGGTTCCGGCAGGTACGCACGCGACCATAGAAACGATGGTGAGTACCCAATGCTGGAGCCTGGAGCGTGGACGTACTTGACTAGAACGATGACTACGCCCCTGATACAAAATAGAGACTACGACGTTATCATGGACCTGAAGCTCTATCATATGGACCAGCCGCCTCCTTTCAACTTCTGCACCACACTTACTTGTCATGGAAAGTGCTTACAACAGCCCCCCGTCGACACCCGGCGCCAATACTTTCAACGGTGCTACAAAAAGCCCGTCTGACTCGGACACGATTTTGACATTTCAACGCATAGACAAAGCAACACCTACGTCACCTTCTGGGGCGAAGGCTAATGCCACGTCTTTTCCAGTGACGGGAAGTCCTGCGGGAACCATCGGGTTCGCCGTGCTGTTGAAGAAATGCGGCTTCAACGCCAACGCCAACGTTGGGATGCACGGTGTCACCATGGCTAAGATCAAAGAGGGGATGATTGCAATTGGTCTGGCCAAGGAGTTTGACATATGGAGTTCTCCGTCATCTATGCTCCTCGACTATGACCTTACTCTTTTGGAATACGTGGAGCAGGTATCGAAGCTTACGAAAAGTCCCCAGTCGGATGTGAGAATTTACTACGGTCTGAAGAAGGATCACAACGCGCAGACAGTACAGGACATCTACAAGACTGGAGATTTCATCATCAGGATCGTCCAAATCAAGAATGATAAGTCGCAGGCGATTCAGGCTCTCAGAGTGATGAAGTCGCCTCCAGAAGATGCACGTGCAGGCGGCCACATCATTGATATCCAGGACCTAGGCTCTCGGACACTCTGGGACTTGAGAGACGGAATTAGCGCAATGCAAGTCTACCATGTTCTTGACTCACTCTGTATTTCCACTTCTAACATCACAACATGAAGGTCGCAACTAAAAGATAAACATCATTTTTGCCTGCCGGATGAAACCCCTCTCTCTGATAAAACCAGATTTGACGACTACATCAAGATGCTTGTAAGTTTGAGCCCTTTCAATTTCACCATTTGAACACCCAGACTGAACCAACAAATCAAGGATGAGACATGTCCATATGAGAGTAGCGTCCCATCGATCAACCTCAGGTTTAAAGACGCTTCATCTTGTTTCGATGAAGATCAGCCAAAGACAGTTTTGACAGCTTTGGGTGATAACAAAGCAGTTCAAAAGGCTGAGGTACGAAACCATGGATCTGGATCTTAACTGATTGACTGACACAGTTTCGCCACAGACCTCCAGGTTAGAGTGATCCGTTTAAACACATTTTACGTCAACTTTGATTCACAATTGATACCTAACCGTCAAGTCCAGTATCTCACCGTCATCACTTGATGAGTTGCAGTGGGAATTCGTCATGAAGAACTGCCAAGTCATGCACGGCTGGTATATTGATCCTGTCAGCACTGAGATCAAAATGGCACCAAAACCGGGTTCGTTGTTGATGTTTGACAATAAGAGCTTCTACTGATAGTAGTATAGCATTCCGTCTCAAGTCAGGTTTGAATCTTGACTACAGCCCAGATAGCACAGTCTCCACTGCAGAGGTTGAGATCGCCATTCCCAATTACGGGGTCACGGACGGTTCAAAAATTGATGTCGTCACTACTGAGAGCGGAATCAAGCATTCTCTTGTTCGTAATAGCTTTGACAAGTCTTCTATGGATAACAAACTCGCCCTCGGTTACTCAGGAATCGGTATCAACGTGGCTAGCGGAAAGTCCTTCGACTCCCAAGGTGAGCAATCGTCAGGGAGCAATAGGTCTGTCAAGAGCATGATCGGCATATACAAGGTAGGCAACGCACTACCAGAACTAAGTTACTTGACTTCACATCGCTTATAACCGCCTAGCTTCCCCGAGCTACTTTGTTTCTTAACGCGGATGATCTCGTTCCGACCAAGGCATTCACAAATGGCATTGAAAAGATCAAGGAGCTAGGTGAGGAAGCGGATGAGACAGACGTTCGCAAATTTTACGAAAGATTTGGTACGTGGTGGTCCCATGATACAGCTTCCGCCTCACACAAGATGAAATTGTTGAAACCTTATAGGGCAATTTTTCTGCCACGAGGTCATTCTCGGGGGAATGTTGCTTTCGACAAAAGCTCTGGTTGGCAACGAATCCCAGGACGAAGAAAAGAGCCGATGTTCCTTCAAGCACGCTATCGGGATGTCTGTCTCCTCTGTATGCATCCTATCTGAAACGACTTTACACCTCTACGGAAAAACTAACGAGTAGCTATAGCCTGTGGAAGTCATCATTGGGGCGGAGTCAAAGAAAGAAATCGCATCAGGTGCCGATCAGAGCATTGTTCGCAGCTATAAAGATAGCGATGACAGTGTGGTGTTCGAAGCAGTTGGTGGGAATACCATCTTGGCTTCCAAGTACGAGCCCTTGGCTCCAAAACTCCGTGTGTGATCTGACGTTTTCACAGCCCACAACAATGGTGCGCAACAGTTGGAGATTACAACAACTGGAGAGTTATCGGGGTAAGAATACTATATGTGGTTAATGCGATGGTGATTAATTCTTGCCTAACGTTTTGATAGAGACAAGAGATGAAGTTGATCCTCGACTCCTTCAAAGATAGTGGAGATCATGAGCTCCAAGATGTCGTCGACTTGTTCACTAAAGCATCTCAACTTACTGTCTCGAAGTTCATTGACATTCCAAAGTCAGCAAAGATCATTGCGCAATTTCGATTCAAGACGAAGAGTACGAATGCGGACAAAACACACTACCTTCGTCATGACATCTACAAACTCATTGACTTTGGACCTCGATCTGCGAGCGAGCAGAGGATTATGCCACAGAAGTAAGTTGCCATCCCGGACCATGCATATAATTTCGGAACATAGACTCACTTGGGTTATATCGCAAGATTTCAGGGGCCGCGAGTCGAACCATACGACCCTTCATGGAAAGACCAAGATGGTCTTTGGACCATAGCTCCAGTGGTGGGAGCTGGGCTATGTTGCCATGGGAGTCAAGGGCGATCGCAATTAGTCGATGGCTCTAGGGTCACTATCCGCTCGGGGCGTGATTCGCAAACCGCCTGGTATCTCTCCGTCCTCAGAACTTCGGCGGGAATCTTCGTTCCCTGTATCACGACCTCGAAACACTTTGTATGGAGAGTCCGAGAAGTTCTGCGGCCCAACACCAGGAGCACCATTGCTAAAGAGCCGTCACCCGACAAACCGCTCAGACACGATGCGGTCCTATGCTTGACTTATGACTTTGAGGACAACCCCCGAGGCTACCGAGACTTCAAAGACGATGATCGCGGCTTCCGGAATGTAGAGTACCCGGACAAAGACACCACCCAGTTGGTGCTCGTTGAATCACGTAACAGAACGGATATATGGCCGGATCGCAGAGTTCTTCTTCTTGCCGACGGGGAACCCTTTTTTACAGAATCTACTGCCAAAGTCGCGGACTTGAATGATTCCGAGATCTCTGTGAGAATTGCAAAGTTCAACATCGACGTCCGTGGTAAGTTGCCTTTTATTTTGTTGCTTCTAACCACTTGTGAGATCTGGATGGCTGAGTTGCACACACTTACCTGCGCGGCATAGACCAAATGGATGACGACTATGATATCTTGCAAAAAGATGGCGATTTCATCACGGCGAGACACGAGGAGCAGCAGAAGAAGTTGAAGACCAGAGATGAGGGGTCCTCGGGGTAGTCTTCTTTTGAGATAGCAGACCAGGATATGTTTGGGTGAGATTGACGCCTAAAGTACTAAGGTAGTATGGATCAACTTGAATCCGAGTATGACTTCTTTGATCCCTCCATCATGCAATAAAAGCACCCAATACCAAAATCACCCAAGCCCTCAAAGTTGCCCCCCGGCCATTTCATATCTTGCCTCTTTGTTCGCATGCTACAATCCGGGCCACTTGAAATAACATCAGCATCAACTCACACTCGCAAGAGAGGCAGAATCAAGAGGCTCAAAAACTCACAAGAAGAACTTGCATGTCGCGCCTTCACCTGGGCGAGCGGACTTGACTTTGCCACCCCAGTTCCAGTTCGGGTACGTCTCCAGGCCATCTCGGAAACAGGCCCACCAGCAGTCACCTTCCCAATCCTTTTCGGTACAGAGATGAACGGAGACGCAAGGTTGTTGCTCCCGCCTTTCTATAGCTGCTTCGAGGGGACCTATATGGGTTTCATCTGTCGGACGTTCGGAGACGTGGGTGGTCGGTGATGGGGGTAGGAGATTATTCCAGTGCTCCTGCTCCAGTTGAGAAGCACGCGTAGGATTGATTATAGTCGACATAGAGGCATCAGCTGCAGCGATCATGCATTTGAAGACAATGGCGTAGATGTATGGATTGAGGGCCAACATGGTGTTGATGGTGAATGGCCCAGAAAGGAGTGGCCTAGGATCACTCGGTGCAATGTAGCGGGGAGATCAAGAACTCGAGACGACACTTACCGGCGCCACGACGTAGTTTTATTCTGGTTTTCTGGTCATCTAGGGCCTCTATCGCATGGCACATTACATGTTTGGTGTCTTTGAGTGTTGACAGGAGCTACAAAGAAACATTCCTCGACGTTGTAAATGCCCAAGAATGACACAAAGAGATGAAGTAGTCTGGCAGTCCCTTAGAGTCGCACGTGGCTTTGAGGACGGCAAACTTCACATCAGGGATGCCTCTGGCTTTGGGAGCATCGCTCCACGAGCTGTAAGGGAGTGCTGGGCGACTTCAAATTCGGACAGCAAGCTCCAATGGGACTTGGGGGCTCACTGGCATCATTGTGCTTGGGAAGCAATGCGCAGACATCCCTTTCCGCTACTGTTTATCTTCGCAGCGATCTGAGTATCATGGCAGACCAAATTTTGAAGCAAGGTTTACCTCTGCCTAAATTCTTCAACTTGGCTCCCACATTGCCCCTAAACTGCCGTCTCGGGCCGTGTGCGCAAATATCGCGAGGCACTCGGCTTCGAAAGTTGCACTTTCGCATTCCCCCGAAGCTTACTCCTCAAAATAGCTTCATCTGAGACCATTCGTCTTTTCTTTCCCACCAACCCAATCCGATGACCCTCCATCGTGGATCGTTGTCTCAAAGAAAACATCTGGATACGAAGTTTCCCCCAAACCACAGGGTCAAGGTTGAATCTCTTAGGTCATGCCGATGCAAGCTCAGCCAAACCGAAATCGAGCCGTGCCACCACCTCCAAGTAAGCCATCAAGCCACCACGATGCAAAGCCCACGATACTCGGATAGGACGCCTCTTTTCTCACTTCAACGGCGCTGATTGGTCGCGAGGGTTCCAGCTCCCAGAGCTGAGCCTCCTCCACACAACGCTCGTCATACCCCAACTCCAACAAACAAAGTGGAACGCCTTGCGGAGACTTTTTAAACATCATCGCGTGATGATGCAGGCCTCTGTAGGGCTTAAATCCCATTGGGCGATGTTCGTATACCGCTTCTCAAATTAAGCTTACATGGCTACTGGGTTCATGTAGCCTATTGCTATGAGTTGAGGGGTTAAAAGAGTAAGTTGTAGGGCTGACGGAGACCTCACCCGAAGGCTGAAATGTGGAAAGCCAAGTCGGGCTGTGTCAGTTTACGAGACGTGTCGGTGAGAGGGTCGTGAGGCGCCATCTTGTGAGGACACCCGCCTCGAAGCCCTTGACCACCTTATGTGAGATTTCGAAGAGCTGGGAAATGCCACGCTACCTCTGCTTTTGCCTGATTCCCATCGGTTGCGGTAAGTCTCAAGATGAAGAGCTACCTTGAGGGCTTCGTCGTATAGAATGAAGTTATAAATACAAGAAGGGTCATCCGTCTTTCTGGACGCCCATCTACCCTCATCACCACCATCCCCAGCTCACAGAATACCACCATCCTACTAGCTCCAAATATCGTCAAATCCCATCCCACGACCAACACTCACTAACCCTCACCAAACCTCCACCAAAATGTTCCCCAAGACCGTCCTCGCCCTCCTCCTCACCGTAACCTCCGCCCTCGCATCCCCCTTGGAAACCCGCCAAGCATCGACCTACTTCACCCCCTCCTCAACCTTCACCTACAACACCAGAACCGGCGCCATCACCCCAACCTACGGCACGGCCGTCGTCTCCAAATCCACCTCCAACGCAGGCAACGACCTCACCGCCCTCCTGACCTTCACCTACCCGCCCGCCGCCGCCGGCAAAAAGTGCCAGTTCTACTTCTACCTCGACGCCGCCACCTCCAGCGCCTCGGGCAGCCGCAAGCTCGACGTCTTCACCTCGCTGAAGCCCGCGCCCGCCGGCGGCTCGCCCGGCTGGGGCGCGGGAGGGCCCGGGAACCAGAGGAACGTGAACATCGGGCGGTTGTCTGTTGTTGCGGGCGGGTATGCTACGTGGGATGCCACGTACGGGGCGTACTTGACCGCGCCGACGGATTGCAAGGCGCCTGGTACCGTGGAGGGGCTCGAGCTTGTTGGCGTTAATGACAATGATTATGTTTCGTGGAATACGCAGGTTTCTGGGGCTCGGATTGCTTACTTCTGAGCTGCTTCTTCTTGGAACGAGGGTGGGGGTGGGGGTGACTGGGCAGGGGAGACATGTGCTCGATTCTGCGTCGCTCATTTGACGTTCTTGTACGTTCTCGTTACATGTTGATGTTTGTTGTAGAGAATTTAGCTTAGGCTTGCTTTGTAGAGAAGGGTGTCAGCCATGCTTTACCTTACACTCCCTTATGGCATATCGGATATTTATCACTGAATTATTGCTTCAATGCTCTGTCTGGTTAACAACCTACTTGTCCCCAGGTCGCTCAACAGTGATTGTCAGCTCTACTATCTACCCAGAGCCCTCCACAGTGATTTCTATCATCAATGCAACGGACTTGAACTTGTCCACTACCACTTCTCTAGTCACAGGTCTGCGCCGTCCAGACACAGAGCATCTTCTTTAGTTCCTTAATCATACCTAAAACTCCTCTCGTCTACCCGCATCATATCCCCCACGCGTTCGCCATGCCCTTGAGAACCTTGCAATCCCCCTTGTGCTTCTTCCAATCCTCCTTCTGGCATTCCTATGTAGTCAATCATCGTCAGCACGTCCGCATCACAACATCACTCCCGCCAGCCAGTCAAAAAGCAGCGAGGGGAAACAGCACGAGAATGAAGTTAAAGTAAAGACTCACCTTGCCACAATACCTCGCAACAACACAAGCAGTACAACTCTTCAACGTCTCACCCTCTCCAGCCCCCTTCCCGCACCCAGCGCACTCCCTCAACCACCGCCCACCATCCTCCCTCACCCGCGCCCCCAACTCCCCAATCTGTTCCAGCCCGCCAGGGATATACTTCACCCCCGTCCCCTTCCCCTCCGGCACCCTAACAAACCCCCTCTTCCCGCCCTTCGGCGCCGTCCTCACCCCGCGCGGCACGACAATCGTCCACCCGCCCTTGACGGGCCGCAAATCGATCCCGCGGTCCTCAAACGTGACGGCGAACTCCGTCTGCTGACGATCGACGACCACGAGCGTCGGTTTCGTGATGGTCATGTTTTGTTTTACCTGCGCTATGAGGAACCATTCTTCGCGTGCGTCGTGGGAGGATGGTCTCGTGACTGCCGTGGAGGAGGATGAGGGAGCGGAGGCTTTGGCGGTGCCGGAGCCGGATTGGGAGTCCGTGTAGGATGGCGGGTCGGATGGGGCCGGCGCATACGAGGGCGGCTCCGAGGATGCGGCGTAGGAGGGCGGATCGGCGGCGCCGGGTTCCTCGATGGGGAGGCCCTCAAAGATTGGGAAGATTGCCTCGTTGGCAAAGTCCGGGATCGGCATGCTTACTGAACTCCCGGTTGTTTTTCGGTGGCAGGGATTATGACCGGTCAAGCGAGACTCTTAATAGATGGAGGAAGGAGGATGCCCAATCAATCTGAGAAGAAAAGACCGGAATGAGCTAAATTGAGAAACGTTGTCAACAATAGTCCTGTGGGTTTCACTGAGAGGTTGGATGAGAGAGTGTGTGAGTGAACGATTGATTGGTGGGGGTGTGAGATTGATTGACCTGAGAGAGGGATCGTCCATGAGTCTCTCCAGCCCTGTGATTGGCCAAGTCCACCACAGCGGAGAAACTTCAAACACCAAAAACTGTCAAACAGAAAATTGACGAACCGGAGAAACATCGGCCAGAATTATCAAGGGGACTTGGCATTGTTCCCAAAATTCCTTCTCGAACGTCTAGGCGACCGTTATGCCATGGCCCACGGTCACCTTTGCTGAAACGGCTGCCGCTGCAGGATAGGACGACAGCTTTCGAGATGACGTATACTGTAACGTCTGGTCAGAGGGGCAGAACAACCGTCCGATATGCTCAGCCGTGCGAAGCAGCAGTGCGCCAGCACCCAAAGTTTGCGTGTGCAGATGACAGGTCCAGCGCCTGAGCCCAGCGAGTGCCCCAACCTCGGACGAGATGGCGTCATGGCGCTGGTGGACTTCTATGCGGTCAGTTTCAGCATGTGCCCAAGACGGCTGGCCTGCTCTGGGCGAGAGGAAATAGACACGGCATGCGCAATATTCAATCATGGTTCATTTTGACAAGAGTGTCTATTCTAGAAACCTATGTGTGTCGTAGTATAGCTACATTATAGACTATAGTGACCCCTCACTATCGTGAGCTATCCAGTGCCCATTACTACCGCAGGGGAGTGTGAAGAATGGAACCAAATCCAACAACCGCATTGCCCAATATTCGTTTTGGGACAAATGTACAATCGTCAACGCCAAGTAAATACAAACCAGGCCGTCCTTGGCCACGACGCCGGTATATCCCTATTGCGAGCATGACTCGCCAGCAGGACCGTGGTGCTGCTACATGTCAAGAAAATGACGCGGAAAATTCAAGTCGTTATGTTGCGCTCATCAACCCATTTACGCTCCGAAACTCATCCAGCCAAACGTGCCGGCCGCGCATCCCAGAACCAGGAAGGTCAGGATGCCAGCGCCGGCCTTATCTGCCGTTGTGACTGGCGTTTCTGTGCCGAGTAAATTGTCCGAGTGACTACCGGCATTGGGGTCTCCCTTGGAGATACCACCAGTGGTGTTTGTTACTGGTGCCTTCACATTGCCGATGAGCAGAGATGATACGGCGCCGAGCACGTTCATCTGTTGGCCAGCCCCCTTGGTGCCGTCGTACACGCCGGAGCTCCATTTGAAGCCACACGTTCGTTGATTATCCTGCCCTGTGCACTGCTTGATAGCAGCATCTGCAGACGTCTTGAGAACTGGGAGAATTTTGTCGGCAGTGTATGGTGCAATCTGCGTCGTGACCGACATCCATCGGGCGACGTAGCCCTTGAAACTCAGCATATCGGTTGTGCAGGTGTTGTGCTCCTCGCATGCAATCTCATATGCAATATTGTTGGGGAAGAAAATTTTCAAAGTTCCTTCGATAAGACCGTCCAAGCGTGTCTTCCACGCGGCGGCGCCGTCCGTCTGGGTTGAAGTTAACATCAAGCTCATCTAGATGCATGAGTAGAAGCCACTTACGTAGTTATACATCATGGCAGCGCCGAGGATGAAAACGCCGTTGTTGTAAGAGAACTGGGCCTTGTTGATATCGGTACAATTCTGCTCAACGTGACCACCATCGTAAATGTTGTAGTCGGCATCGATGAAACCAACGGATGTCATCCAGTCCCAGGTCTTCTCGGCCCAATCGGCATACGTCTGGTTCCTGGTGTACCGGGCTAATCTGGCACCAATGTTGAAGAAGCAGCCGTTTGCGATACCTATAAGCAATCAGTATCAGGTTCGTTGGAGGCGTGAGCGTCAGCATTACTGTTTTTGTAGTTATATCCGTTGTTGGAGAGAGGAATTTGCCAGCGGAGACCGCCTCCGCAAGTGTTATCGTGTCTGTCGGGACTGGCCATGGTGTTGAAAACAGCTTGGGCGAGAGCCAACCATTGAGCCTCATCCTCGGGTGGGTTAGGGAAACCGTCCTCGGCAGCAGTCATGGCAGACATGCCCCAGAAACCTTGGTCGTCGTTACCCAGCGAGGCAGTGTAATTAGGAGGCATGTAGTCGCGGTCGGGTCCGACCTGGTGAAGCATGGCCTGCATGACAACGTCGTTGTAGGTCGAATCGCCAGTCAAGTGCCAGTAGTCAATCATAGTTCCCCACATGGCACCAGCTTCCCACCAGTAGTAATCACCGGCTGGCGGAGGACCGGGCAAAATACCGGGCGTGTGGCCAGTCAAGTTACCATCGTAGAAGCTCATGAGGTCGTAGGCGAGACCTTTTGTGGTGGCCTTTATGTCATCTGGGCACGGCATTAGTAAGGCGATAGACCGGGGCCTGTCGAAGGCTCGAGTTGAGGGATGAATGTACCGTCGGAAGCGATGGAGTATGCAGCGCTGGCGAAACCGCTCGAGACGAGGAGCGCTGTCGCAGCGCTGGCGATGGAAGAGAATTTCATGGTGGTTATCGTCGAGCGACGTTTACGTTTATTTGAAGCGAGCGACTGGTTGAGAGGGGAGAAACGGGACGGGAAATTGAGAACGAAAGTCAATTCCCTCGGTGCGGCGCGATCGGACTAGGGCCGTATCATGCGAGTATTTCGAAGTAGGTCGAACGTGAAGAATGGGCGAAGAGTCGTGGAAGTGCCAGCTGTCGAATATCGCTGCTGGAAGTCGTCGGGATGGGTTTCTGTAAACAGGCAAAACGAGGGTTGGAGGAGAAAGGAAAGGAGATGAACAGGGACGTTGAAGGGAGAAGGAAGACGAGGAGGGAGGGCCGGGAAAGAAGGAGTGACAGCGAAGGGGTGTGGTGTGGTGTACACTGGCACTAGGTGACTAGGTACTCAAAAGTCAGGTAGCTGGGACGCCGGGCGGGTGCAAGTGCGAGAAATGGTAAGAGGGTGCCGGGATGGTGGCTGTACCGGGGACATGGAGGACGGGCAGTTATTTGGTGGTGGGCAAGGGTCGCGTCAAGTTGCGGTACATTCACATTAATCTGCATGCCTGGGGAGTCAGTATGAGCCTACGAGGTAGGGCAGCGGGAATAAATGGACAGCGCCAATTCAGGTTCTCGCTGTTGCAGGAATGCGGAATTGGAAAACAATGACCAACGCCTTTCCCTCGCCCACCGATCGTCGAGCGTTGGCCGGTGGCTGCGCCGGCAATGTGACGTCCATCAGGTGTTGAGTAAGGTAAGTATTCGTACGTCGTCCATCTGCTCTATCTACTCGCGTGCCAATGCATCCGACAGCGACACCACAGGATTCGTAGCGTCGAGTTCCTGTGCTTCCGCGACGGTAATTCGTGCAGTGCCCAGGCGCGCCAAGTCACCAGCGTGGAAAACAAGCAAATTCCAAGTTTTCCAGCGTCTTGTCCCGTGGTCTTGGCGATCCAGGGACAGGGCCCGAATGCCAAGAGACTGGGGGTATCCGTACGCCAGACCTAGCAGAAGGTAGCGTATGGCGTCAAGGCCGACTCCATTTGTCTTGGCCATTGAATGTTTTAATTGTTCATGACCATCTATGTAAACCTATGGGTATTGTTGAGGCATCATGGCACATTTGGGACAGGCGAGTCTGCTCTTTTCGGTTCTTCCTCGTATCCATACGATGCTTGACAAGTACCGGTACTTGCAGCGAAATGGACGGCGTTGCGAGAGGGAGCAGTGGCGCGCCGCCGACTTCCCTCCATGGCAGGACAACAAGCCCAAGGGGGAAAACCCCTGATTCAAGGTCACGAGCGAAATCACATGATCTTCATATCAGCCAATTGACTTGTCCGGTTCGTTCTATGGTGGAGTGCGCGGCCTTCCCTGTTTTGGCCCCCCTTTTCCTGAATGATGAATTGCGGGCCTCGCCTGGTCCTGAGGAGGTCATTGGCGGATGGAAATAGAGTGCCTTTTTGAGTTGCTGCTGTCTCCGTCATTGCCGTCGGGTCCCGACTCCCAGCCAAACTGTGCTCTATTCAATTTCTCTCACTCTTGCATACTGCAGCGCTTACAACTCATTGGCGTCGCCCCTCGAGTTCCCATCTCCCATCCAACGAACGGTCACGACCAATCCTTCTCAATAACACAAACCACCACTAAAACATCCTCTAGCCGCCAAGCCATTCAGTCCAAAGAACAAGCTTTTCGTCAGCCAGATCGTCCTCTCATCGGGTCTTTGGCTCCTTGGCTCTGCTAGCTCCCTTGCTGCACAGCACCGCCCCCCTCGTGTCGCCCATGTCCAAATGGCCGCCCTGCCGCGATCTACGCGCCTGGGCATTCCCTTGGCGAGAAATTGCAGAATACTGCGCTGGGACCATCCAATATGCCCTTCCTGCCAACTATTTGGACCTGGGGGGGGGGGGGGGTCCTCTAGGTCAATATTTAACGTATAGAAAAAGTTTGCTCATTGCAAGCTGGCTGACGACTCGTGCTTCGGTCCATGCACGCTTCTAGAATGCTCAATTACCATCTGAGATATGTTTCTCCTGCTGCCCTGCATGCCCACTACGTACAAACCTCGGACGGCGACAAGCACACGGGGAATGAAGCCGTCATCTGCGCGCACCGACAGCGTGGCTCTGCTGCCGCTAATAAACATCCGATACTTTTGCAGGCGAAAAGGGGCTGGGCTGGCTACCTCCCCTGGCTGACTGGCTTCACCTCATCAAGCTGATCCCTCTCCAGCAACAGCTTGTGCGTTGAATAACCTGGTCTTTCAACAAATGACAATCGGCATGGAACATTTCTTTGCCAAGGCACCAAGCTGAACCAGCTTCGATGAACGCCCAGTAGGGCTGAACCTGTTTATCCCAATCAACTCAAGATCTCCCAGTCGCCAAGACTGAGCTACTACCGAGTATGCGCCTTCCCGTGGATCAAAAGTCTTGGAATCTTGGACGTCCTGTCAATTGTGGCATCCGACTGATGAAGAACCCGACACGGGCCTCTTGACAACGTCAAATCTCTAATTTGGGTCAACCGAAGCCGAGTCTGCACCGCCCCTCCGCACTCCACCACGAATCGGCAGCAGTCTGCCGTCCCCAGAGACCCTTGCTAAAGCTCCCCACGGAGACAATAACTGGAACGAGAGACGACTCTAAAAATTGTTCCCTGCGAACGTAAATTTGGGCCCTATCTCGTGTGCAGAAGGTATTCCTACAAGTCATCGTCTGTATCTGAGATGTGATTGAGATCATTCGCGCCGTCTGCAACTTCGAAGGCAGCAAGGCTCTTGGTGTCAAGACTCGAGAAGAAGACGATCAATAAACCTGCCCTGAGGAGCCCAGCATACGACAAATACACAGCAGGCACTTCGGAGATTTGCGCGCGAATGACACGCGCTATATGAGATAGCACAGACGATCGCTCTACAACCAATTACAAGCCTTGTTGGCTAAGTGGTATAGCGTCTCACTAGTACCTAGTGACATGAGAAGATCGGCGGTTCGATTCCGCCACGAGGCATTTCTTTTGGTATTGATCACGATTTTTGCTTCGTCGACGACGGCAACACGTAGATTGGTGGATTGATCACTTCTAGATAGGTCCCCGAGGTTTGGTGCGGCCAATGGGAGCGAAATAGCACAGAAACCCATGTGTAGTAGGTGCCTGATGAACCGATGAAAACTCCGATGTCGATGACATCTATCCTGCTCACCGTGGTTTGGAATGTCAGAAGGATAAATGCCATTACTATCGCTATCTGATACATCACTACACAAGGCAAGTCCAGCTCACAGTCTTATAGTTGCCTTTGAATCCCCTCGAGCATACAGAGAAGATGACGACGCTTAAGCCGCCACGGCCTCACCCCCCTCCGTCTCATCCTCAATCTTCGTCTTGATCAACTCATACAAAATATCCGTCCTCATCGTATACTTGGTCCCCTTGACAACATCGTCGCCAGAGTGATAAAGCCGGCTATGCTGAAAGATGAGCACCCGCCCCGCCTTAGGATCAACATCAACCTTCCTCTTCTCATCCCCCGACAAGAACGATGTCGCGCCACCAACCAAGTCGGCACCGTTGTCCTTACCCGCCTCAGCGACAGAGTCATTGAGGTAAAGATGAACGGTATAATGCGTCCGGAACACAGTCCCATCCTCCGCTTCTTCGCCATACGGTCCATCGCAATGCGCTATATCAATGTCAACAATCCATCATAACAGGGAATAAAGGGGCAAGGAACTGCGATGAACTCACGTCTAAAAAACTGCCCCTTCTGATACTTCAAAAACCTCATCCGCTTGTTAAACCTCTTAAACGCCCACCTCGTTTCAAAACCCTTCTCCGGCCTCCTCACCCCCTCCATCCCAGCCAGCTGCGCTTCCAACCCCGGCGCAAGCCTACACCGGCCCCACAACCGATCGACAACTTCCTGCTGGTCCCAGATAATTCGATCGCTATTCCGGTACTCGGGCTCCAGAATCTCCCACCCGGGACCCATATTAACCATCGCCGGCCGCCACGGCTCGTCCTTGTCCGGGTCCGGACCGCGGTCTGTGGCGGAGGCCTCGGCCATGCGGAGGAGCTGGGCGCATTCGTCCGGGGTGAGGACGTTGTCTAGGACGACGGCATACAAGGGCCCGTTTTCGGGGAGGGCGGTCTTGGACCAGTCTAGTTTTTGGAGGGTTACGGCGGGGGCGGAGGCCGCGAGGGGAACGGAGAGGAAGTCGGGTGGGATGGGGACTTCGTTGGACGTGTAGGATGTTTTTTGGGGTTTAGGAGCGGCGGGTTTGGCGGGTTTGGGCTTGAGGGCCGCGGGGATGAGGTCTGAGATTGGCATTGTGTCGGATTTCTTTTTCGTGGTAGGTGGAAATGTGTTTTTTTTTTTTTTTGCCAGTAGACCTTTGTAACGCTTTAGGTCGTGTGGTTGTGGTGTTTGATATCGGTGGGTGTTGATGCCTTGTGGTTGTTGTGGTGATTTGTTGTTGGTGCTGTTTGTCGAACGACAATGGCTGCTTGATACAGGGTCGGCCAACTTCTTGAAGACTCGGGAAGCAATAAAAGACACAGGGACCACCTCTTTCTTCTAAAAGACACTTCAACAGATATTTACAAAAGGACAGAAATGCGACTGCCTAGCAAAGTCGTCAAGGCGCAAGCGTCAGGCTTCGCCTCATAAGTTGGTGACTAACAATGCGGCGGAGTACGGATTGGCCTCAAGTGGACAGACTTGGGGTATGTAAGCACTTGTTCCCGTCAGACCAAAACACACCAGGCTGCTTTGTTTCGGAAAATACGGCCTACAACAGACGTGTCTTCAATCTTCAACAATATTTCCTAGAAAAAGAATGCCTCGACATCTGCCTTGTAGACTCACGAATTGAGACGAAGACTGTTCAAGCGTGGATGCCTGCGATCGGATGTGAGTGCCTAGTGCGGGGTCAATCTCGCAAAGCTGATTGGCTCTATGCGATGTCTTCTGTGCTGTGTACCTTGCTGCCTTGAAGTCTTGAAGCCCCCCGATACTCACTTGACCTGTAAAAGTTATAATCTGCATGAATATTCTTCTTGGAATTTGATATCATTTCTTTGTCGCTGTGCATTTTCCTTTCCGTCTTGGCTAGTAATGTCTGCTGTTGATGGTGCAGGCTACATAAACTGTGAGCTGTGGCGGGGTGCCTAATTGTGGCTGAACCAGATGAGAAGTGAAGGATTCTCGCAGATGGGCATTACCTATCGAGTACGAGTATTCCTCGTAAGCGTCTTCTTGAAAAACCACATGAATGGGAGAATTGATTACGAGGGACAAACAGAACAATTTGTGAAAGCTACGATAGATGTGTTCTTGTGTAAGGTACCGTTGACTCATCTCAAGGTGAGGTGTCTTGGGTATGCGAAAATGTCCCCCTGGCCATCACTGCTTGACTTACCTCCTCGAGACCTGCCGTTTGCCGGTACCATGAGAACAGACCACGCTTTACATTACTTGTTCTCTCTGAGTTTGATACGTTGTTAACAAGAATCAAGGGGGAACTTGCCTGATGATTCGAAGTGAGATATTTCTAGTGCTATGAGAAGTTACCCCATCTCATATCGGGTGTTCTCTCTCTGAGGGCGATGAAATAATAATTAACATTGCCTGGAAACTTCTATGATTAGATAAAGGAAGTATGGCGAGACCCTGAGGTTATATTACCAATAGGACTGGATGCGGAATGATCATGGAATTCGCTTTCAAGATAAAGTTTCTCTTACACTCTACTTATACACAAACAGAGTCCGAAAAAGCGTATGTTTTCAATATTCATACATCCTGATATCAGCAACTCATTTCCAAGCTCAGCACTATCAAACCGGCTCATCCCGTTCATTCGTCCCCCCTGCCCCTTTACTCTCTTCAACCTCGACCCCTTCATCCAACCCAGTCTTCGTCTCAGTATGCATCTCACTCAACTCAACCTGCCTTGTGAAAAACGTAGCAATAAACCCAACCCCAGACATGACGCAAAAGAAGACCCAAATCTTACTCAACCCATCCGTCACCGCAAGCCTCACAACCCGCCTCTGCCCCTCACTTAAACCCTCCATCACACCGCGCGCCGCCGTCGCAATCGTCCCTCCCCTCCCAAACTTGGCAGCAACCTCGGCCGGCACGCCCGCCGCCAACAACCGGCCCTCATGCCGTCCCACAACGCTCTGGAATATGACCTGCCCGACGACCACCCCGATCCCCAGCGCAATATGCCTCACAAACGCAAACGTCGCCGTCCCCGTCGCCACATCCGCCTGCCTCACCAGCGCCTGCAATGCAATAAGCAACGCTTGCAAATTCGGAGAGATGCCCAGCGCCGCGAGCACCTGGAACAGGATCAACCGCGGCCAGTCCCGTCCCGCGGGCAACGTCACAAACAACCCAAACGCAATCGCCGTGAGCGCCATGGACGCCCGCACAATCTCAACGTACCGCCCCGTCTTCTTGATCGTCACCCCGACGCCGATAGTGCCGACCGCCAACGGCAGCGCCGTGGCGAGAAGCCACACGCCCGACTGGATCGGGCTGGCGCCCAGCACTGCCTGGAAGTAGAGCGGTAAGAAAAACGCAATCGCCGCGAACCCGAGCCCGTGGCAGAAGTTGGCCACGTAGCAGAAGACGACTGACGCGTCGCGGAACAGCGAGGCCGGCATGAGCGGGTACTTTGCGAAACGCTCGACGAAAGCAAAGACGGAGTAGGTCGCGCAGCCGAAGACGATGAGACATATGACGGTGGGCGAGTCCCAAGGGTTCCGCAGCCCGCCAAACTGCAGCCCGAGGAGGAGCATCAACGTCGCTCCGGTGAAGGTGAGTGTGCCTAGCCAGTCAATGGCCGCCAGGCCCTTGAGAAGCGGCGTCTTGGGCGTGTGTATGCGCAAAAAGAAGACGAGGATGAGCAGCGACGCGCCAGAGATGGGCAGGTTAATCCAAAAGCACCACCGCCACGAAACATTCTCCGTCAGCCCGCCGCCGATGAGCGGTCCGATCCCGCTGGCGAGACCCCAAACTGCACCGACGGCGCCGAAATACGCGCCCCTCTCCCGCGGGCTGAAGAGGTCCCCGACGGTGATGTTGACCAGCGCCATCAGCCCGCCGCCCCCGAGCCCCTGGACCGCTCTCCCCGCGACAAGCATCGTCAGCGTGCCGGAGAGCGCCGAGACGAGGCTGCCGACCATGAAGACGACGTTGGCGATGACGAGGATCGGTTTGCGTCCGAAGATGTCGCTAACTTTGCCCCAGAAGGGGACTGAGGCGGCGTTGGCGAGCAGATAGCTCGCGCCGATCCAGGCGAATCCCGAGTCTGAGGACCCAATCTCCCGCGCGATCGTTGGTAGTGCGGTGGTGATGATGACGGCGTCGAGGGCCGCGAGGAAGACGGCCATGCAGAGCGCGAACATCAGGATGACGGTCTGGGCCCGGGTGCGGACCGGAGCGATCTTTGTGTCTGCCGTCGTGACGCTCCCTTCCCCTTGGTCATCGTCGGCGCTCCTTCTCTTCGCCCGTACGCCTCCTTCTGCTTTACCATCTTGATCGCCGTCGTCGCGCGGACTCCTGTCGTGAGAAGATCTTTCTACTTCACTCGCCATCGTGAACAGCGAGATACCTTGCTTGGTCGGGTACACGACATGCTGCCCTCAGCGAGCACCGCTTCCACAACCCACAACGCGGGACGGGCCTTAATATACATTCTTCGAGATCCTCAGAGAAACACTGATGGAACACCCTAAAGATGCCTTGGTTGTCGTTGATTTGATAGAATGTCCCAGTGGCTCTGCGGCACAGCCTTATGGCCCGCGCCGCTGCCATTCTCGAGAGCACATGTTCCTCGACATGAATAGGACCACGGCTTTTGCCAGCGCGCCGGAATTTTGGCTGCTTCGGTACGACCCACATTGCCGCAATGCGAGGGCATTCGACGCAGGGTGGTAGACTGAGAGAGAGGCCGTTGGAGCAAGATGTGGCTGCACGGCGCATGCGCGGGAGCCACACTCCCCATCCTCCCTTGCCTTATCCTTCACCTCTGCAATTAGAAGAAAAAGTTCCGGATCTTTCGTCCTGGTTGGTGGCTTTACGAGAGCGACACGTGGGGGCCGTTTCCACAATGCCTCTCATTCGCTCGGAAATCGCCAAGTCTTCACTTTTCCCATGAGAACCACCCCAAGAATGACGCGCAGCGAATAACAAGACAGTCGGCGCCACATCCGGAAAGTACCAAAGGGGAAAGAGAGTAGAGGGTATCAATCTTAAGATTAGCAAAACGTACAGCCGTACAGCGAATTTGCCTGTCCCGTGGGTTGGATCTGCAAAGAAGAGAGAAGGAGAGACACAAAAAACCCCTGCCATGTCGGGCCGGACTTACGCCTCTTCGTTTTCGTGGGCTGATGCCGAGCGAATGAAAGAATTCCAACGTCAGCTTCGCATCAGCTCCCAATACTACTTGGGTTGCTCCAACGGATGAGAGGGTGGGTTCCAAACAAAGGAGAAAGAACATTTCTCGCCCGGCCAGCCCATTTACTCATATTTTCCAGCGCAACGTTGAACGAGGCAGGGGGGAAGCGCCCAATTCGATCGCGTAACCGGACACGGCGTGAACACTATATAGGCAGAATGCAAGGAACGGTGCGAAGCGCGAAAGCGGGAATAAGAAGGGGAGACGATGGCGAAGGGGCTTGCTAGAGGCTGAGCATCGTTTCCCGGCTCTCCGTACGTACGGGCTGACAACTGCGTTTCTGATAGGCACGATTATGCGGATTGCCGACTACAGAAGTTCAGACCGACGAGAGGTGACGAGTGCGAGTGTCTTTCGAATCTTCGTTGCAGACGACCAACTTCGCCTTGCGTAACGGTTCTTGCAGGATGCAGATGTAGTTCGTCGCCATCATCGTCCGGGAAACCTGTGCTCCGGGGAGCGTATGGGATGCGATCAACGCTGTGGCGGGCGGGAACTCGTCTATTTTGTCTTCATCGAGCGTGCCTCCCTGAGAGTTGATTCTCTGCTGAGCACCCACGGCTCAATTTACATGAATCTCGTATTCATGCCCTCAACTCGCCTGTTGCGACATCCCAAACGTTGACACGCGCGCGCCATGTGGTGACTCGTGATGCTCGGTGATATGGGTTACACATGTTGTCAAACCGCGTGCGAGCCTCGTGGGCCTCTCTGTCCTACATTCCTGATTGAGAGCTTGACGGAACGGGCCATCAGTGGAAACTTGCATCGTCGGCCTCGGAGACCGGGTCAGAGGGAAATGAGACTCAATTCTGTCCTATGAAAGAATGACCAGCCGTCATTATTCCCTCCATCCTGCAACATACGAACCCGGGAGCCCGAAGCTGAGGGAAGTAAGCACTATATATCATAAATCAAGTTCGAATTCGCAAGCGCGCCCACGAGGTAGGAGTGGCGATAGCGCAGGAGCATTGTCGTCGTCGCTACCTCGGTTCAACACGCAGTCCCGGCGATGGCGTAGCAGCACTTTCGCGGTCGAGTGGCGAATATCTCGAACGACGGCGTATCTAAACACGTATGGGGTATCATCAAAATGCAAAAACAACATAAACAGAAAATCTCCTCCATCACCGACTTGGAGTGTTTGTTTCCAAATCCTCCAAATCTCTCCTCCTCCTCTTACTCCCTTTTTTTTGTTTCCCATGAGACGGACCATAATGCAATAGCGCAGCAGCATTGTTGCCAGTCATCGTCTCCAGTCCCGTACGCCATTTCCCAGCGATGGCGTAGAAGCACTGTCGCTGTCGAGGAATCCAGCCTCATTTCCGCCGCTCTTCGCCTGTAGCGCGGTGAACCAAGGCCATTCCCCGGATGAAAAGCATATATAAACTTCGTATGGGCGTTGTATCGTAAATTGTCGAATGTGAAAGACGTATTAAAACGAGATGCCTGTAATTGGCGCAAGAAGAGAATAGCAGGTTGAGCTGCCTCAGAACGGGGCGTCGAGTAAATTGTCATTGAGAGCCGCGAGTGGTTGTTGAAGCTTCCGGAACAGAGTATGTTCCCGATGGTTGTCGGCTCCCCAAGATAGGGAACCATTTAGGCTTCCCGGTTTTGGTTGGAACGAGGGAACAACTTTCCAAAGCCTCGTTGCCGGGCCTCGCGTCTCGCGGCGCCGTCTTCAATCTCACTAGAGGAGTCGAGGCTCGAAATCTTGTTCACGGGCTTGTTTCCGAAGACCTTGAGCAGGAAGAACATGGCGAAGCTGCTGGCGATACTCAGGCAGAGAATGCCGATCATTGCGTAGTTGCTGCGACGGTACTGATAACGACCCTTGACGGCGTCCTCTGGCCATCCGGTGTACAGAGCGTAGGTCGTGACAATGCTTCCAAGGTTGCCAAGGCCGGACACCAGAGCAGTCGCAGCCGCAACACCGACTTCACCGTGCCGGCGCTGGAAGATCTCGTTCGTCCATGTCATGCAATTGGGAACAGTCGGGCCAAGACCGAATCCAACCATCAGAAGACCACCGTAGCGAGCCCAACCATTATCGAGAGCAAAAGTTACGACAAGCAGACCGGCGATCTGAAGGCAAACCGCAGCTGAGAAGATAAATGGTCGGTAGCCGTGGAATCGATCTGAAATTGGCATCATTATGAGAATCGCAATCAAGTCCATCTGCATCTTGTTAATGAGTGCCCATGCAAGACAATACGAAGAACTTACGATCCAGATCGGAGCAAAAAGCAAGCTAACTTGGATGCTCGTTGCCGTGGGCACAATAGAGCGGATGATGACAGATCCATAAAGCTGCGTACCGATTCCAACGCCAACAACGCCAAAGTACATGAAAGTCAAAGGCCACAGGCGCCAATCGATTAGCACCTGCAGAAGATCCTTCATAGTCCAGGGCCTGGGGTGATAGACCCGTCGGAGGTCATTGTAGTGAATGACGGCATCCTGGCCGGAAAGCGCTTCTGGGGTTGCCGGAAGCCACTTCAACCAGCTTGAGCGCTGACGCTTCTGCCCAGGAGGAAGAGGGCGATCGGGAAGCCACCAAAGCAGGCAAAAGCCAAGAACCACGGCCACCAGGCCGTAGATGAGGAACATCCAGCGGAAACCAACGAGGCCTCCCAAACCATCCATGAGTTGGAAACCAGCAGACACAAGGCCAACCACAGCAGCAGAGAGCTGGGCAGCAGTGAAGTACATGCCGATTCGCTTACCCGTTCGAGAAGGCGGGTAGAACAAGGTGAGGTAGTACGACATTCCAGGCCACATGCCCGCAATCACAACACCGAGCAAGAATCGTAGAAGCCTGGTTAAAAGGTTAGATCTGACAAGTAATTCGATCTGTCGTCAACATACTTGACACTCCAGGCGCTCTGCACGGCAGCGAAGCAGGTGCCAATGATACCGGTGGCAATGACAATGCGAGCCATCCAGATGCGAGGGCTCAGCTTGGCCATCACCAGATTGGAGGGGCAGTCGAAGATGACATAGGCCACGTAGAAAAGAGCCAAGGCGGTTGATGTGTCTTTAGCTGTGAGGCCGAGGACGGACATCAAGTCATGACCCTGAGCGGCATTCATTGTTTGCGCGATTCCAATATTGGACCTGATGGCAGAGCAAAGGAAGTAGAGCGTCCAGAATGCTATCAACCGTTAATCCCATAGTGTCACTGGCGAGAAAGATGGGATGGTTACCTGGAATGATTCGAAGGTCGAGCTTCCTAGATGCCTGTCAGCTCCATCGTCTGACGCAAGTCATGGCTAATGAGGGTTTGCATGCGTACCTGTAAACCCTCTCGACTGTTTCGACATCGTATTCTTCCGGCTCCTGATGAGATGGGCCGGCCGTAGGCTCCATAGTCGACGAGCCAGCTGGCGTACTGTACTCGTTGGGCTGTTTGTCATCGGCGCCATGCGCCTCCTCGTGTATGTGAGCCATACTTGACTACGAAGCAATGGGAGTGCCTGCTACGAGTCTTTTTCTGGTCACTCTCACGGACAGATGATAAAAAGGCAATTGGTGATCTCGGCGCTTGATTATTGGCTTGGGTCTTTGGAACCACGACTAATTTTGCAGAATTGAGCAGGGAGCTTCGCGATGGTGACCGAGGGTGGTGAAGTTTTCGCTGTCTTGGGCGAGCGGATATCATAGGCATTTTTAAGGCGTCACTTGCCGATGGGCTGGGAAGGTTGGAGGGGCACATCGGAGCTGATAGTGGATACCTCCGAGCAAGCAACTAGGGCCGTCATCTTCAGGTGGTTCTGGCTTAGCTGCACTAGCAGATCTGGGCGGCCAGTCTCCCGAGGGACCAAAGGGAGGAGGAATTCGCTCTCAAAGACCTCCTTCTCACTCTTCTCTGATGGGCCGTTCTCGCCCAACAGAACTGGCGCCCCACTCCGGGTGGCAGGATCAGTGTGCAGTTTGCGGTGCGATTGTCGGTGGCCCGCAGCGCAGCCCACATTGCCGAGCCTCAGCGACTCCGGACTCGGTCACTAAACTGAGTTCAATCGAAGCGCCGTGACACCGGCCTCGAGTCGGGCAACAATGACATGAATCGACGGGAACAGTTCAGACCAATAGTGGTAAAGTTGCAGATGACTAGGTCTAGCATACGACAGAGGATGGCGGGAAGAGAGCGATTTAGATAAAGTCAAAGCGTCGATTAAACTGTCAAAGTCTTGAGGTGTTTTTAGGTTAGGAAGAAGAAAACACACCGTATTTCATGGCTTTCAAGTGTTCGCATGTACGACTAGACATGAGTCTAGAAAGAGTTCTCGGACAAGTCGCTACTGCAATAATTGGTGGCTGAATGCGCGGATAGTATTCTTACCTAGAAACCAGATGGTAGTGGTGGTGGTGGTGGTGACCAAACGCACAGAAAATGGATGGTGGGGTTAATTTCAAGTGGTCGAGCGTCGCTTCAACCTCACAACTCCAGCTTCACTTTGACATACAGAAACACTGGGTTATCTATCGCAAGCTTCGTTGTCAGTCCTCGATCTCCTCTTGTAATTATCTTGGAATTTGAGACCTTCATCCATTGCTATTGGATGCTTGGCGGATAATGCCCTGGGCCGTCACAGCCTTAAGGCATCAAAAAGGTTTTGGCCTTAGCCTTTAGGAGTTGAGGGCAGATGCTCATCTCCTTCCCCCTTCTCCTCATCACAACCCCACTTCCTCCAGTCTCATCTCAATAACCACGTCAACTTGCTTTCCTCTTCATACGCGATGCTGAATCTATCGCAGTCTACAATTCGTCAAGATCGCACGTATTTACAGGCACTGCCCTGCTTGAGAAATCTCGCTCCTTATCTGCACGCTTCTCTTTGCGATATCACTGCCTGACTGGGTGCCTATCTACAACACCTCGCCCTGCCTGATCGCCAGTTCGCCAACAACGTTGTCATACCTACACGCGACTACCTCAAGCCGGCTTCCCTAGCTCACAAACTCAATTCGTTGGCTGCTTGCTTCACCGAAATGGTTATTGATCCACCTCGACGGAGTCCAGATCTATCTGTGAGCGGGGTAGTTCCCATCCTCCTCATGTCGTGGTAGTCGTTTCACCAAGCCTGGCGATCCTGAACCGAGTCATCGGTGAACATGACGAATAGGCTTCCAGACGAATAGGCATTCGGCTTTCTTGGCTAGAACCAAAACTTCGCATGAACAGAAGCTCTCCGCGGCCTAGACGTGTGGTACGCGGACTATTCAAGCAGCAGCGTCCCCAATGTCATAGGATGACGACTGTACTCCAAAAGAGGGAGGTAGTGTGGGCGATGACAACGATTCACGCGTTCGCGCCAGGTCCAGACGCGCGAGTGCGAAGATGGGTATCATATACGCCGGGTCTACCAATAGGCAAGCTCACGATATGGCCCAATGATCAAGTGACAACGGTCTTGTTGTGTACTCATTCACACTGACGTTTCCCACGCGGATATCTCGCCCACTAGCACGATGCCTGCTCACGAAGCTCAAAAGCCGCCTACTCACATTGAGCATCTCTCAAGAGGTAGTGTACGGTGAGAGCTGATGGCATCATTGAGCCTATTCACCATCTCCTCGGACCACACATTTGTCCATCGTCATAACCAACCAGTGTTGGAACCTTGACGCTGACCTGCTGAACGGCCTCATTGAGGCTGTGTGTGAATATCTACTTCTATACCTGTACCATATTAACTCTAGTGCGGCTCAGCTTCGCTAAAGATTACCAATCGCCGTCGAGGTATCGTGGATCTGGGGTTGTAAGCTCTTCTGGGACAATCCTCCGTAAGCAACAGGTGAGTCCTTGATCCCATCTCGAGCTATACACTTCCGAAATACTAAAGTACCTGAAAGAGCTTTAGGTGATGATCACGAGACAGCTGAATTCTCAAAATGCGCAGACCCCTGCGCCGGCAGCCTTGGAGGCCAACCTAATGCGTCGGCTGTGACTCACCTTGGTAGGCATCTCGACGAAGGCTTTGACACCATCGCCAACCAGATGGAGTCACAGGCTTTGCCGCCTAGACCTGGCAAACATATAATGTTCTAGGTATCTCTCCAGGTATGATTCTATGAAAACCCATCCAAGCTGAAGTACCATCAAGATTATATCAGAGAAGCTAAAGACATATATCCTCAAAAGCTGGTGGGTTCCCTCATTGCTATTTGTGCAAGCATCCAGCTTCTGCCTTCAGCGCCACATCATCCAACAGACGAAGAGTGGATACCGTGGCTGGTGGCGAAATTGACCGGGATCACGTGGATCACGGCTGAATAATCCAAGTCCATGCATATGTGGCTGACGCAGCTTGCTACCAGCTTCCACGTCGTCAGCCAGATTTTTCAGGCAGACTGACTTTTCTGCCTTTCGCAGCATCGGAGCTCATCACCTGCAAGCTTGACGAAGCGACGCGTTATCAAGTAACCGCAGTCGCAGTATCCCTCACTGCGGCGATCCCTTTATCTTTCTTGTCGAATCTTTATTTGTCGTTTCCCCTGCGATTTCCAGCAAACGACCCGGGAGTCGCGACTTCTTTCACGATCACGACCTCTTCCGATCATCATTTCTCCCCCATCACAAGCTTCATCCAGCATCCACAGGATAACCGTCAAAATGAGCGTCGTCTACGAACCCCGTAATTTCATGCACGATGGCTCGTATCCTCCCATCGGCGATCACGATCACGACCATGTCCTCGATCAGACTGGGCAATACCAGGCGTCCGACGTCCCGGACCTCGCCTCCTACAATCCGACGTCCTCGATGCTCGGCGACGACCGGTCTCTAATGCCGGACGGTCTTGACGATGCCTCCGTTGGCGTCCCAGATGCGACGCGACTCGATCTTTCAGCGCCTCCCACTCTTGCCTCCCTACCTTCGAGTCTTCCTCCGGCGCTTCCCGAGCCCCTGCCATCAAACCACAAGGACGAGGGCGAGGCCTCGACTCCTACATCGAGGGTTAAGTGCATAGCAAAGCCTGAACGCGAGGTGACGAAACAGCCTGATGGAAAGTTCTACTGTACTTTCCCGGGATGCACGGAAGAGACTCAAATTTTCACCCGGAAATGCGAATGGAGGTTAGTCAACCAAACGTTGAAGCTTTTGACACTTTGTAATGATGCTGACCATTTTCTTCTCGCAGCAAACACATGGACAAACACGAGCGACCTTACCGATGCGCTGCTGAGGGTTGCGAAAAGCTTCCCGGCTTCACATACTCCGGCGGCCTCCTCCGCCACGAGCGCGAAGTTCACGGCAAGCACGGCGGTCCAAAGAACACGGTCAACTGTCCCCATCCGAACTGCAAGCGTCATACTGGAAAGGGCTTCTCACGGCAAGAGAACCTTAATGAGCATCTACGACGAGTACACACGAGCGACGGTTCCAGCACGGTTCAAGAAGACATCCAAACCGGTAGTGACGGTGACAGTGACAAGGCTATTGGATTCGGCGCAGGCAACAAGCGAAAGCGCTCCCGGAAGGGATCTGACGCTGGTCTGGACGAGCTGCGCGAGGAGATCAAGCGCGTACGCATGGAGAATGAAGAGTTGCGCCAGCAACTCGACAGACAGGGCCAGCACAGCTTCGCCATGATGTCGCAGATTGCAGAGCTCCAGGATGCGCTGCGGACGAACCTCGATCCGTCCGGACTCGGCGCTCCCACCGCCACGATGTTGTGACAATCAGACGCAACGCCTGCGCCTCTTCCCGAAAGCGACAGCTTCCTCCCGAACTTCCCGTTACGGCGTTACGACCACACCACCACACCCTAAATTAACACCCGGCGGCCACAACTCATACTTCAGGCTTCCACATTGAACCCCCGCGTCCTCGACTCGACACCTCCCCGCACACACCAACCATCACACCACGTACACACTCTTACGACACACGCATCGACGAGGCGTTCTAGGCAGAAAACTGCTTTCTTATGATCCATACAATTCCGTTTTGTCTCCTTTGGCCGTGGTCACACGACGCCGTGTATAGTTTTAACGGCATGGGTAATTCAACAGAAAGGGGGAAACAGGCGTTCTACGGGATAATCGACACTCGACTTTTTTTCTTTTCCACGGCTTTCTACGGTGGCGAAGAAAGCCCAAGGACGATGACGACTACTTTTTGATATCCCCCCTCCCCTTCGCTACGCAGAGCGTTATGCAGAGGAAAACCAGAAAGATGGAACAAAAAAAAGGAAGAGAAATACCACATGTTTTTCCGGAGTTTATTTTCCACCCTCTTTTTTTTTTAACAGCAAATGGTAGATTGTACATTTCCCCTCTCCTCCTCTTCAACTCACGCCTCCCCCCTTCGCTTCTCAGGTTCTCCTCAGCACCGAAAACAACTTTTGTAATTCTATTACCTTGTATTGCGAACGATTATTCATTTTTAAGTGTGTAGTACCATAGACACGGGATGACCTTTGATGATCAAATGGCATCCTCCAACCCCCATAAATCAAGATGAAACTTCTCTTCTCCTCTTCAATGACAATTTAATCCGTCTCTTTGCAAAATATTGTAATACATTAGAGTTACCACAGACTATTTGGGACGTGGATGGTGATGACGTAAGTTTGGGTGCTTTACGCGTGAGGCCCGAAAAAAGGAAGCTGCACACGTTTTTACCCTGCGAAGAAAGAAATGGCTAGGAACGCGTTGTCACATGTGGCTTTTGCCTGAGGCAAAACACCAAGGTAGGCAGGGGTGTGGTTGCAGGATGCACGAGTGACGATCATTGCCAGCTCGAAGTCCATGTAAAACTCCGCGACTCGTCTGGGCACTCGTGGTAGTGTACTCAGAGGTAATGGAAACCAACAGATGTTCTGTGCACAAAGAGGGCGTAGGCGCAATCTCAAAGGACACTTCTACATGAGGAAAAGGGGTAGATGAAGGCAAGACGAGGGTGGGCTGCATTTCCAGGCACTCAATCATGTTTAGCAACATGATGAAAATCCATTTCAATGACGGTCATTGAAATTCACTTTGTTTGGATATCAGTTCTCGTCTACCTATACTCTTACATATCCCCGGGCTCAAAAGGCCCTCGTATCTATGGAAAGAGATGAGCCGTCAAATCTTACTTCACCCTTGACTCGAATCCAAGGTATTTTAACGCTTTCTTGTCGAGAGTACTTCCTCCTAAGCGTGTGAAGCCGCAGGAAAAGGCACTCCATGAAAAGGCGTCAAAGGACATTGAAGTCTACAAAAAATCAGAGATTCTCGGCATCTTAAGCAGAAGCTGGCAGTAGACTCTGCCCCGGGAAAGAGAGAAAAGGAACATCTAGACATGAAATCTAGACCTCAAATACATCACCCACGCCCTCGGATCCGCCCCGCCGGTTCTCGACAAGGTCCAACCTCCACCCCTCCCAGTTCTTGAGCGTGCGCTTAATCTCTTTGATGCGCTCGATACGCTTCTTCGCGTCGTCCTCTTGCGCGCGGCGGAACGCGTCCTCGTCAAAGTCCATATCGTCGTCGTCGAGGAGCAGCTCGTCATCTCCCGTCCCGGTGAGCGCATTGATTCCACTTTGGAAAAAGTCTCCAATGCCACCGCCGGCTGCTTGCTTCCTCTGCGCTGATGGCGACGTGCCGCGGCTCCCGCCAAGGTCCACGTTCTCGAAGCTGGGGCTATTGAGCTCCCGGCGCTTCTCCTGCCAATGCCCGTGGCGAAGCTCGTATACCTCGGCTTCGAGGTCGCGTACCTTCTTCTCGAGACGCAGGCGCTCCTCGTTCTCGAGCTCATCGACACCGTCATCATCCAGGCCGCCACCGCCCTCAGTGGACTTACGGCTCCGTAACCTCGTGTTGTCGCTCTCGAGGCTCTCAACCCGCGCCTTGAGTTCGCTGACCTCCTTCTCGGCGCGCTCCTTTTCCTTCCGCAACGTCTGGGTGCGCGTGTCTTGCTCCTTGTGAAGCGTGGTTAGCGTCGTAACCTTCTTTTCCAGGCCGTCGGCCTTCTTCTCGGCCTCCAGCCTGGCATCGATCGAGTCGGCGAGGTCGTGCTCCAAGCTGCGGAGCTTCGTCTCTGCGCTCGTGCGTTCGCTACCTTCACGGACAGCCTTTTCCGCCGTACGGTCGAGATTCTTCCGCAAGTCAGTCAGTTCTTGCTGTGCCTTAGTGGCGGCCTTTTCAGATCGCGCGAGCTTCTCTTCCAGAGCCGCAATCTGCTCCTTCTCGGAGGACGTGCCGCTAGTCTGACGATCCACTTGTGCGCGGAGCTTTGATATTTCAATCTCCATCGACTCGATAGTGGCGGTTTTGGAGGCAAGCTGAGCCTCGAGCTCGGCTGGGGGAGAAGACATCGATACCGATGGCGAGGATCCGTGGCGGCCACCTGCACGGGAAGCTTGTTGCTGGAGCTGAGAGTTCTGGCGCTGAAGGGCCTCGATCTCGGATTTCTGTTTGGCATTTTATTAGCAAACTTTTAAGGGCGCATGGTCGTATAATATGATGCTCACCAGGTTTTCGACTTGGCTGTCTGGACCGCCCTTGCTCTCGCCCTCAGTCTCACGCAGATCAGCCAGCTCCTCCTCGGCCTTCTTCCACCTCCTCTCCGCATCGGTGGAGTCCTTGGCTAGACGCTTATTCTCTCTCTCAAGCTCCTCTATCCGAGCGTGCTGCTTTCGATAGATATCGGTGGCGGTCTCGCCTTCAGGAGCCTCGGCGCTGGGCGAAAGAGGACCATTGCCGGCGGAGACGGACCCTTGTCGGAAGGACGCAGAACGGAGCTTGGACTGTTGAGCTAGCGAAGGTTGAGATGCAGTTGGCGATGCTGGTTGCTCCGCGATAGCTTCCGTAGCTTCCTTCTCGTCCTCTTTTGTGTCTTCGGTGGCAGGATCGGCGGGTGTCGTGGGTTCGGCTTCGGGGTCCTTGTCCTTCGAGACGCTGGGTTCTGCCGCTGTTGGCTCGGCCTTTTCCTTCTTGGATGAGCCAGCGGCCTTCTTTGTCTTCTTCTTTTTCAATTCTTCCACCTAGCAAGCTGTGAGTATTAGACCGATGGTGATCGCACCGCAAGTAAACCTACTCGCTTTCTGGCGGCGGCGAGCTTTTCGGCCTTGGCCTTCTCTTCAGCGTCGGCCATGATGCAGGCAACAGTGCTTGGGTTTGTTGCGAAGCGTAATCAAGTGAGTTCTAGGTGCTGTTGCCGAACGTTGTCACAAAGAGGTTGTCGTGAATGCGGAATGTAAAGTTGGATGTTTGATGCGGTTTGAGCGCTTCAGCCTCGAGCCCAGGAGCTTAGCTGTCCACTCGTGTCAAGAACAAGCCACATTCCACCTGCACTCATCCGTAGTGTTTGTGGTTGACAGGGGGCCCCCCCAATGACGAAGGGAGGCGCAATAGCTATGCGTGGAATGTGCTAAACATACAGGGGCCACCCCTCCTGTTCCGATGAACTTCCTTCTTGCCGTTTGGACAAAATCGAACAATACCCCAACCTCCAACAACCGATTATTTCCTCCGTGATAAGATTTACATCCTCCCAGAAACCATCTCCCTCCTTCATTAGATATAGTATTTTCTCTCTGTAACGCTGGTCTGTCGAGATTCAGAACCATTCAAGATATTGCACCTGTTCTGCTCTCAGCATCTATCGATCTCACTAACACCGTCTCGCCACTGGTGGTCATCAAGATGCAATAATCGCCCAAAGCCAAACATCATGCCGTTCTTATGAAAGCTATCGAATGAAGAGATGCATACATCGCAACAACAAATAGCAAAAAAATCAACATGTTCCCAAGCGGGCCTCCTGCCGTCTGACCGACGCGACGAACACCCTCCATCCCCCTGCACATCCTTTGGCCCACACAGCCGTCGTCTTTCAATGCGTTGGCGCCTTACATCGCCTTCTCAGTGTCCCAATCGCTCAAACCTTTGCCCTTGGGCACCGCCTGATTGGCAAGCTCTTCCTCGTTTCATCTGCGCTGATATCCAGTTGGCACCGGACCAGCGTCTGAAATGGATGCAAGTTGCATCTTGGCCCCCAGTGAAGGACCCTGTTTACCTGCCAGCGCGGGAACGCATCGAGCCAGGGGGCAGGGGGCTAAAGGGGGGTGAGCGTCTCGTTCGTTAGTTCCTTTGAAAGACGTCCGCCCTGCTCTACAAGGGACGACTTGGCTAATTCAAGATGATTGGAGGTGCCGCGGCAACAAACGACCCAAGCACGATTATGCAGCTCGAACATTAAAGCATGTTGAGAGCTGACATGTTCTCCAGAACATGTCCTGCTCAACTCTCGTCCATCCTCTCAGCTTGTGCTGGAGGAATGGAACAGAGGAGCGACGGCGAGGAGCCATGGGGCAGTGTGTATCGAGCAGCAATGCTGGCGCAGGCACCAGCGATGCCGAAAGGCCTGACGCTCGCTGTCAAACTCCCGGCTGCCAGAGAGTCTGCGATCCAGGGTCCAAATCACGATACTGCACTCAGCATGCCGTCTGTAGACGGCAGGGATGCGTGAGGCCTCGATACCGCAAGGGCCCATATTGTCAGGAACACATGTGTAAGTGTTCCACCAGGCCGCTTCGGCCTTTCGACAACGTACGACTTCTCTCTGACTCCAGGACCAGATACGTGTCGAGTCTCCAGATGTCCCAATAATCAAGCCAAACTTCACGATGCGCGATTTACCAATCATTTATGCTGGAACCACCAACCCCCCGAAGTCCAAGATGCGTACCTGCTCGGATACCTGTTTGGCGGGGAGGATATCCACGCGGCCAACGCAAACGAGCCTCAGCAACAACAGCAACAACGCAGCAGGCGCAGGCGTTCTCGCCAGAAGCCAAAGTCCGCACCGGCCACAACGCAACCTACAATCCTAGCCGAGCCTCGAAACCAGGCATCCGAAGACCCCTCGTCAAGTTCAGACGACGACGATGTTATAGTCGCAGCTCATCAGCTGTCCACCATAGGCGAGGAACCGGAAAGAGAAGACGCCATGCGCTCAACGCAGAAATCTCGACAGGAGAAGCCTGGAACAGCGACAGGAACAGCGTCAGGAACAGCGACAGGAACAGCGCCGGGAACACCGACGGCTCGTCGGAGTCAGAAGACGGTTCACTTCGCAGATCCTGTCCCTCGAGCCTCCGTAGCCGCTGAAAACCCATCCGTCGAGACGACGGCGGATACCTGGGTTGCGGAGCCCCTCTCCTCGTCCGCGGCAGCCCGTCTTCGGACCTCCCACCACCGGCGAAGCCTGGATGGACGGTCCGGGTATCGGTCTTCGCCAAAGACATCTGGCAGTCTCGCCGCTCCGGCTACGAATAACCGTGAGAGGCGTCATAGTACCGGCAGTGCCCCAAAGTCTGCCGACGTCAAGCGGACAACGAGAACGAGGGCCAGCCGCTGAGGCCTATCCTCTGGGGACGCACAGGACGGAGGCACAGAGGGTCCCTTGTAATGCTGCACGAACCAAGCTTCGACATTGCGTCACAGCAAAGTCCCATGACACATTTCTCCCACCAGATGCCCCCTCGTTTCTTTATCGTCAACAGTCATACGAGCCCGCTTTCCTATCACATCTCTTCAGAAATAGCCCCGGTAATCTCTTGGGTGGGGGTCCCATCTGAATGCAGGCGGAAGATAGGTAATGGTGCTAAAGATACAGCGTAATTATCTCTCAACGGGCGGTAGAAGAGTTCCACCTCTGAGCGTCGGGCACGGCATTTGGCGGGGTAATGGCGGGGTACGGGTGCGAACAGGGTGCTGCAAACTACCTCACGCCGAACCATTACCACCACCACTACCGCCGCAAGCCCACAAGCCCGCGCCAAACCGCCCGCCTACCCGACTAGCCAAAGCCTCGCCGTCTCTCTTCCTTCCCGTCCCTCCTTCTTTACCTTACTTGCTGATCTTCTACCCAATTCCGTCGCAACTCTCTACTTTATTCAATTCCCTCTCTCGGCATAAGATCGTCTCCGTCTCAAATTTCCAGATCAGCGACAAGATTTCATTCCCGACCGGCGCAATACACACGCCCACCCACCCGACAAAACACAAGCCATCGCCAACAATGGCCTCCCTCCCCTCACAACATCCGTCGCTGGCCCTCCACCTAACAGACCGCGCCCTCAACCCGATCTTGACCTCGGCGCACTCCCAATCCCAACTCGAGGCACTCACCTCCCTGACGACGACCTCTCTGACCGCTCATGCCGCCGCGAACCGCTTCTCCCTCGGCCCCGCCCAGCGCATCATTGTCGAGCACGGCCCGGGCAGTCCCGTCGTCCTAGCCTCCTTCCTCAACGGCGCCGATGCCCTGCCGAACTCGGGCGGAGAGAGCTCCGTCCCCTCAGCGTCAAAGTCCTCGTCGAGACCCGTATCCTCGGGTGTCGCCGGCGCTGCCCCGATAGCAGAGCCATCTTCCGCAGCGGGGGCGTCAGCGAGAGCGATACCTGAGACGGGCAAGCTAGGCGAAGAGCCAGAGAACGCGGCGCCGATGCTGGTCGGCGTGGTGGTCGCGGCGACGGGTGAGGAGGCCATGGAAGCGCGCCGCGCCGCGGGCAGACTCGAGAGGGTAGGCAGGGAGTTCCAACGAGAATGGGTCGCCGAAGAAGGAACGGGCGACGCAGATGGTCTCGGTCGTTGAACACACATATACACACACACATTCACATATCAATAGGACGATGGAGGAGAGTATGGTCAGATCGTAAAAAAATGGGGCAAAGGATGTCCCTGGTGGAAGGTCAACGATGCCCAGAGGAAAGCGATAGCGATGTCGTGGCCTGGGAAGTTCGAGTCGGGGCAGGGCATATATGGTCCTTTCATGAGGATTACGAGCAACGAGATCACGGTCACATGGAGGACCCGATACGGAAACCAAACCAGGCTACGGTATGGGGTGGGTTAGGCGTACAGGACAGCGCGAGTTCGCGTTAATCATAATCTTTGGATTTTTGACGGTCTCTCTATATACCGAGTTCATTTTCCCCGTGAAACGTCCGTCATTGCGTTAAAAAAAATAAGAACAATCGCCAATTAACCAATTTCTACCCTAGGTATGACCGCTTTAAATGATCTGCTGGAAAGCACGGTTGAGAGGAGAGCGAACGTTGGGAACGTCCTTCCAGAATTCGACGGTGGCGACCGCGCGCTTGGCGATGCCCTCGGGGGTGAACTCGAACTTCTATAGAGTGGGTTAGAATGACTGACGAACAGTACTTAGATCGAAACGAGAAACTTGCCTTGTAGACGTCCTTGTAAGGACCGGAAGCACCGAAGCGGTTGATACCGAACTGCTCGTGGGAGTATCTCTCCCAGCCGAGGGTGGACATGACCTCGACGGACATGATGGGCTTGCCGTCGGGCAGGACGGACAGCTTGTACTCCTTGGACTGGGAGTCGAAGACCTCCGTGCAGGGCATGGAGACAACGCGGGCAGCGATGTTGTGCTTCTCCTTGAGGTACTTAACGGCGTCAACGCAGATGCAGACCTCGGAACCGGTGGAGACGAGGGTGATGTCGGCGTTGGGGTCCTCGTGCAAGACGTATCCACCCTTGATACCCTTCTCGATGACGGAGCCCTCGAGTTGGGGCAGGTTCTGGCGAGAGAGAGCGATGATGGAGGGGGTGTGCTTGGAGGTCAAAGAGACGTAGTAAGCGGCGGAGGTCTCGTTACCGTCGGCCGGGCGCCAGACCATGTTGTTGGGCAGAGCGCGGAAGTGGGCGAGGGTCTCGATAGGCTGGTGAGTGGGGCCGTCCTCACCAAGACCGATAGAGTCGTGGGTGGCAACCCAGATGGCGCGGATCTGGGACAGGGCGGACAGACGGACGGATCCGGCGGCGTAGGAGACGAAGTTGAGGAAGGTACCTCCGTAGGGGATGATGGTACCGTAGGCAGCGAGACCGTTCATGATGGCACCCATGCCGTGCTCACGGACACCGTAGCGGATGTAGCGACCGGCGTAGTCACCGAGGCCAGTGGCGGGAGCCTGGAAGTCGACAGCCTCCTTCCAGCGGGTAAGGTTGGAGCCGGTCAAATCGGCGGAACCACCGACAAGCTCGGGAACGATCTGGTGGATCTTCTGGAGGACGGTCTCGGACAGCTTGCGAGAGGCAATGGCGGGATCGGCGGGAGTGTAGACGGGCAGAGACTTCTCCCAGCCCTCGGGGAGGTCACCCTTGAGGCGACGGCTGAGGTCCTTGGCCTCGTTGGGGTACTTCTCACCGTACTTGGCGAAGAGCTTGTTCCACTCCTCCTCGGCAGCGGCGCCCTCGGCGGCGTGCTTGTTGTAGAGGTCGTAGACCTCCTGGGGAACAGCGAAGGACTGCTCGGGGCTGAAGCCGAACTTCTCCTTGAGCTGCTTGATGTCGTCGGCCTTGAGGGGAGAGCCGTGGACACCGTGGGTGCCCTGCTGAAGGGAGCCGAAACCGATGGTGGTTCTCAGCTTGATGAGAGTGGGCTTGTCCTTGGACTGCTGGGCCTTGGCAATGGCCTTCTCGATGCTGTCGAGGTCGTTGTCACCGTCATCGACGATGAGGACCTCCCAGCCGAAAGACTCGTATCTCTTGACGACATCCTCAGTGAAGGCGACGTTGGTGTCACCGTCAATGGAGATGTGGTTGTCGTCGTAGATGGCAATGAGGTTGCCGAGCTGGAGGTGACCAGCCAGGGAAGAGGCCTCACCAGAGACACCCTCCATCAAGCAACCATCACCAAGGAAGGTGTAGGTGTAGTTGTCGGACAGGCTGAAGCCGTCCTTGTTGTAGACAGCGGCGGTGTGAGCCTGGGCAATGGCCAGACCAACAGCGTTGGAGATACCCTGACCGAGAGGACCAGTGGTGACCTCAATGCCGGGGGTGTCGTGAGCCTCGGGGTGACCGGGGGTGATGCTGTCGACCGTCTGTAGAGCCTGTCAGGAAATGGCTCATTCCCTCACTTGTTGAGTCATTGTCAAACTTACGCGGAACTTCTTCAGGTCGTCGATGGAGACGCCGTAGCCGAAGAGGTGGAGGAGAGCATACTGAAGCATGCAGCCGTGTCCGTTACTGATGGTAGATTAGCCAAAGATATTCGATTCGGGAATTGGAAGCTATGTTCGGGCGGTTCAACTTACGAGAGAACGAAACGGTCACGGTTGAGCCAGTTGGGGTTCTTGGGGTTGAACTTCATGAACTTGTTGAACAGGACGTGAGCGACCGGCGCCATACCCCTAGAAAATGAATTGGTAAGCTTCTGTGCCCCGATTCCATCGTGAAATACGTGTAGTGTGAGTGAATACGTACATGGGCGCACCGGGGTGGCCGGAGTTGCTGTTGAAGGTGGCATCGACCTGGGAATCGCAGACTCGGTCAGTTTCTTGTCCAAACATAGATTGACGATGAGGCTCTCGACGGAAAGCTCATTGAGGCCGGCCAAGGAGCTCGGTGCTAGATGACATGATCGCAGCACCGTGGATGGTGGTGGTGGTCTCAATGGCGGGGTAACGACGAATCCTCAACGAAGAAGCGTGTAGGCGGGGTAAAAATCTGGCGGGCGGATGAAACTCACAGCGAGCAGGCGGATCGTGTTGATCGCCTTCCAGTCTTGTTCGGTGTAACCCATGATGTCTGATTTTCTTCCAAGAGTTTTTGATGTAGAACTCGGTCAGGGGAAGAAGAGAATGTGGTGTGAAGGAGGGAGGAAATTTAAAGGAGAGGTCGGAGGAGGAGGAGGATGGAACAAAAGTAGAGGAACGAGAAGGAGTGGGAGAGGAGGCGGTAATGTACCTCAGGTATTCCGACACAAAACAGCAGCAACATTTTGCCTCAGAGCGTACCTCAGCAGTCCCGTCACTGCGTATGTCGGCCAGGAAGGTAATTATTGAGCATCCGGTGGGGACCTGACGTGGGCGTGGACAAGGACCAGAGGGGGGGGCACATGGAGGGGTGGAGGGGTGGAGGGGCAGAAGGGGGACCAGGCACAGACCACTGACGCCGCGGCCGGATTCTCTCAAGAAGGGAACAACACGACACCAGACGAGACAAGCCACTGGGAAGAGGAGGTCACCACACGGTGGGATGCTTGTTGCCGGGGGATTCGTTGCTGCCCACTCCAGGCACAGAGGTGAATTGGATTCCTCTGATGTGATATGTCCATCTTGCACTTCCATTTTCTTGGATACCTTGGAATTCCAGAAAGGCTACGATACTTGGAGGTACCTCGCATTTCCAAATAGCTGAGGTAAGGAAGCACTACTTATTTTTGGTACCTGTAGGTAGCCACTCCCCTTGCCGGCGCGGAAGAGGTACATTGGCTCGCTTGGAGCTCTGTCTGTACAGTACCTAAGGTAAGGTACCTCAGCCAAGGTAAGGTAGCTTGGCCTTACTGAGAGCTTTTTTTTTTTTTTTTTTTTTGGCGGGATGCCCGGACTCAACCTCATCTCAGTACCTACCTTACCTCAGCCCTCAGCTGCCACGATACCTCGAACATGGAACGGCACGAGATACTTCACTCGCTACATGCCTTAGGTTGGTTAAGTAAAAGTCACTCATGTCACTTTTCGGTGTCTTCCCCCCTCGCCCATCACCATCCATCATCATCATCCATCATCCATCTTCACAATCACATGGAGTGGGGGTTTTTCCAACGTGTCCCGCATCTCTTCCATTTTTGTCGCATCTCCAGTTTTCGGTCTTGGGAACGGTACACAGCGCCTTCAGCTCGTCTCAAGTCTCAACAACCTCGTCGTCCGGCAAAAAAAAAGCTGTGGGCTGACTGACAGGTGTCGACTTGTCCCATCTGCTGCCACCTCTCCTTGGCCTCTTCTGGCTTTTTTTTGCCCCTCCTATCGTCTAGCCACTCATCTTTCTCGCCCTTGTATTGGTGGGCTTTGTCGGCTCAATCGTAGACCGCACTCTTCACTCTCATTATTACCCGTCCGTGGTCGACGTGCTTCCATGTACTACTACCGTAGGTATTCCAATTCACCCGGCAACCCCTGTGAGGCAAAAATGTCCGACCTTCGACTTGCGATTCCCTCTCTGCCGCGTCCCGACCTCGGTGTCCGGGCTATCCCATCTCGACGAATCATACCGCACTCGGCGCACCAGGTTCAACCACATCTGCACACTGCACCAGCAGCAAGTCCACCGCCATGGGAACACCCTCACTCAGCACCCAAAAGCCATATCAACTGTATCACAATTTTTATTTTTATTTTTTGGCTGTGACGTATCTCACCCCCATGAACTGACTCTCGATTCCTTCCAGAAGCTCGCTCGTTGCCTGTATTGACTCGTGCGAACAACAATATCTATGGATCATGGAGACAGTCTGTCGTCATAATGCCCACATAGCACAACGATTCACCTGGGTCCCTTTCGGTATCTGCCACGACCTGACAACATCGGCTCGCCTTGGAGGATCTTGACTAATCCGTGGAGATGGCTGCATCTTTTGGGTATCTCCGGCCCACCCTATCGCTTCTCCAGTCTTTCCGGCCAGTAGCCTCGCGCTATTTTATTCACTCACGATGCTGCGTCGCCGTCGGCCATAGGCCCAGCGCGTGCCGGACTTTAAAGCCTCGTCCAAGCAGATGGCCCAGAGAGAGCCAAGCGCCGAAAATATCCCTACTACGCCTCCGTCGCCTCCAGTTCTCTCGCTCG